TATAGTTGTATATAAAATGCATTATTTATCTTTCAAAAAATGTTTCCCAATGCTAAATCTTTCATCCAATTTCTAAATTGTTGCATTTGTAAATGTCATAAGCCATTGTAAAGTAGTAGTGGTAAAAGAAACGACTTGTAGGTTTAACAAATCTTATTTTTGTCTAATTGTCCTGTAAGGGGGTGTGGCAGGGGTGTGTTCTATGTCTACATACCTTTGCTAATAGGTATCCCTCATTCCAATTTCAAAAAGTTAGGGAAGTGTGCACTCCTAGTACAACACTGCAGAGAAAACAGTGGTGATGCCATAACATCATTGAGGATTACCTAGTACTAGAGAAGAGGCAAAGAAGACCCTGAGGGTCACATGACCAGGCTTAAGATTTTTGAAGGAGGAGAACTTGGGGACAGGATGGGCTTTAATGCATAATTTAAAGGAGAAGCTATTTTGTCTATACGTCTCCTATGTATCACAGGAGTGCAGTTTGTTCTGCACTCCTGTGACCCATTTTCAGGCAACAGTGGGCTAAAGCTCACTGTCGGCTGATGTCCCAGAGCCAGTCTAGCCTCTGAAAATATCCTGACCCTATGGTCAGGATCCACCCAGAAGCCTAGACCGGATCCGCTAAGAATCTGAGCTAGCTCCTTTCACTCCTCTACAGCCCAGCGCTCCAGTGAGCACTGGAAGGGCAGAGCAGAGAGGTGGAAACTGACTGTCGCATTTATCTGCCCAGAGCGGAGGGGGGAAGTTTGAGCGATTGTTTGATTGCTCAGTTCTCACTGCACCGTCAGCAGGGGACAGGTGCAGCTTCAGAAAAAACTCTATACTCTCTTTTTCTGTATTTTTTTCAATGCTAGCAATGTAAGCACCTGAATTCGACTCAGTATTAGGCCCTTGCAATGCCCTATACAGCAGAACTCAGAGCAGACTAGGAGTTGGAGAAGTAGCACAAGGAGCCAATTAGTTGTGCTACAGTGCTCATACGCTAATAATGCTCTAGGAATGAGCGAACTGAGCAAGGTTTGCTGAATATTCACCAAGCCTTGTGGGAAATCTGCAAACCCTAAGCATAGCGCCTAAACCCTTTTTGAAGTGTATGGGAGCCAAATGTTGTTATTTTCTTTTTGACATTTTTAAGTCTCTTTTGGAAACTTATGTTAGAAAAGGCCATGGGTAGCTTGGCACTGCCATGGGTAACATTACCAAGGCAAAACAAAATTACAAACTACCATTCATCCCTTTCAAATTAAAGGGAACATTAAAATATACAGTTCCTTTAAATAGCATGATTGGGGGATGCCTTCAAACTTCAAAATCACCTTTAAAATCGATATCAACCCTTATCCAGTGAGTGCACATTGATGTGGCCAGGAAAATTGGACCGCGACATCCCCCCCCCCCCCATACGCCTAAACAATAACAGGCCATATTCAATTAAGGGAAAAAAGGCATGGGGTTCCTCAGAAAAATCCATATCAAATTTCTTATCCTTTAGGAAGGTCTAGAATGGATTTTAAAAGCATAATACTAGGTATTAGTGTAGGTATATTCTCTGTGTTGTTGTTTTTCTTACCTCCTGATAATGGGCACACATGTCGTGGCTGCAGTTTGTTGCATCATGGCTGATTGATTTCCCTATGTGTATGTATTACTTCAGCTAGCTGATCCCTATGTGCCAAGGGGATAAGGCAACTTTCTGTTCCAGGTAACACAGCAGCCAATGCATGCTTTGCCATCCCCTCTTGTTGCATCTCAAATGTGGGAGTGCTAACATGATGAAAGAAATCATCTTACAGCTGCACAAGTGAACTCTCTGCATGTCTGTGAATGCTGTGCCTGCTTATATCTTTGCCAATTCAGATTTCTGTATAGCTCCAACCTGCATGATCACTAGACTGAAAGACCCAGGAATTGTGGGATTTGTAGTTTCTTCACAGGAAGTGTCAGGTCTCACACTAGAGAGCATGTAAACTGGCTGGCCAGGAAAGGGAAGAGCAGCAGATGTGCCCACATGGTCTCAACATGGGGAGGTTGCTTTGCTGGGGGCATTCCTGACAAAGTGTCTTATCCCTTTCTTGATGGAGACAAAAGTCTCTTCCCCACATCCCTAACCCAGTGGATGTGGAGGGCTGTGGAGGAACTCATCAGAATTTGTAATCTCTATCCAAACCAACATAGGATCCCTTGTTACTAATTAAAAAAAAAATGTTAATTAGCAAATAAAAACAAGACTGTGATAAAAGACCTTTATTTCAAAAACAAATAAACAGTGCCCCCCTATATACAGTTGCAAGAAAAAGTATGTGAACCCCTTGGGATTACGTGGAGTTTTGCATGAATTGGGCATAAAATGTGCTCTGAACGTCATCTAAGTCACAACAATAGAAGAACACAGTCTGCTGAACATAATACTACACAAACATTAGATGTTGCCATGGTTTAATTGCACATAACATGTAAACATTCACAGTGCAGGGAGGAAAAAGTATGTGAACCTTTGGACTTAATAACTGGTTGACCCTCCTTTGGCAGCAATAACCTCAACCAAACGTTTCCTGTAGTTGCAGATCAGACCTGCACAACCATCTGGAGTAATTTTGGACCACTCCTCTTCACAAAACTGTCTCAGTGTAGCAATATTCTTGGGATGTCTGGTGTGAATCGCTCTCTTAAGGTCATGCCACAGCATTTCAATTGGGTTGAGGTCAGGACTCTGACTGGGCCACTCCAGAAGGCGTATTCTGTGCTGTTGCAGCCATTGTTTTGTTGAATTACTTGTATGCTTTGGGTCATTGTCCTGTTGCATCACCCATCCTCTGCGGAGCTTCAGTTGGCGGACAGATGGTCGTACGTTTTCCTGCAAAATGTCTTGATAAACTCTGGAATTCATTTTCCCATCAATGATAACAATCCGTCCAGGCCCTGAGGCAGCAAAGCAGTCCCAAACCATGATGCTCCCTCCGCCATGTTTTACAGTGGGGATGAGGTTTTGATGTTGGTATGCTGTGCCTTTTTTTCTCCACACATAGTGTTGTGTGTTCTTCCCAAACAACTCAATCTTGGTTTCATCTGTATAACAGTATATTTTGCCAATAGTGCTGTGGAACATCCAGGTGCTCTTTTGCAAACTTCAAACGTGCTGCAATATTCTTTTTGGACAGCAATGGCTTCCTCCGTGGTGTCATCCCATGTACTCCATTCTTGTTTAATGTTTTCCTTATTGTAGATGTGTCAACAAAAATGTTAGAATGTGCCAGAGATTTCTGTAGGTCTTTAGCTGACACTCTGGGATTCTTCTTTACCTCATGCAGCATTCTGCACTGTGCTCTTGTAGTCATTTTTACAGGACGACCACGCCTAGGGAGAGTAGCAACAGTGCTAAACTTTCTCCATTTGTAGACAGTCTGTCTTACCGTGGACACATGAACATCAAGGCTTTTGGAGATACTTTTGTAACCCTTTCCAGCTTCATGCAAGTCAACAATTCTTGATCGTAGGTCTTCTGAGAGCTCTTTTCTGCAAGGCATGGTTCACATCAGACAGTGCTTCTTGAAATCAGTAAACCCAAAACAGGTGTGTGTTTTTTAAGGGCAGGACAGCTGTCAGCAACACATCCAATATCATCACACTGATTGGAGTCAAGGTTGGCTCACTCCTGGCTCCAATTAGCTCTGGGAGAAGTCATTAAGCTAGGGCCTCACATACTTTTTCCTCCCTGCACTGTGAATGTTTTACATGTTATGTGCAATTAAACCATGGCAACATCTAATGTTTGTGTAGTATTATGTTCAGCAGACTGTGTTCTTCTATTGTTGTGACTTAGATGATGTTCAGAGCACATTTTATGCCCAATTCATGCAAAACTCCACGTAATCCCAAGGGGTTCACATACTTTTTCTTGCAACTGTATATCCAATGTCAATCACATCTTGCACCAAAATAGATACAGTGGCAATAACAATAAAAAATTCCCCAACGACCTGCCAACAGGATGATCCACACTATAACACTCATCTCCCATCATTACGCCTGTTGCAAATGACAGTTCACCAGTACTGCTGGAATGTCAACACACTTCACCACTATACAAAGAGCTACTTTTAGTTTATGGAGAAGCAATGTAGAAAGAATAGGCTCAGAGCTGAATTGAGTGCCTCGGAGGGGGGGGGGGGTAAACTACAAGATCTGCCCTTGTCTGATCACAGAAAGCCCTGTATTTTGTGAAAAGAGTACAAGATGTTTTGTGAATGGACAAGGAGACAGGAAAGAGAGTGTGAAATACTGAACCCCTTCACTGCTGCAGCTCCCATCCCTACAAACCAGGAAGTAAAGTGCTCTCTGTACAATCTGGCATGATGGAGGCCAGGATTTTGAAACTAAACAAGCTAAACAAACAGCATTAATCCAGACCTAGAGTTAGAGGTAACCTGTTTGTATGGAGCACAAGCCAAAAAATACTTTTTCCTAGAGTTTAGATTTAAACAACGAAGTATCAAATTCATTGGTTCATTGGTTTTAGTGCACATACGCCTCCAAATGCATTATTGAAACAAAGGTTGAAAAAAGGTTAAAAGCAAAAATTACAGACAATTAGATAATTCTGTATTATTTTCAGTTCAGTGTTCAGTTATGCTCAGTGAAATTTACATAACAAAATGCTGCTTAGTTTTGGTTTGTCTACTTCTTTAATATCATTGACACGTTACATACAACAGAATTATCAATAATAGTTTTCTATGTTAGTGTATTGGTGGCATAAATAAAACAAAAATTGAAGACTCAATCAGTAACTACTGTATGTCTCAGTAAAAATACATGACTAGTGTGATGGCTTTATAATTAAAATTAAAGTAGTACCCAGTATGCAGCTATTGGGAATATGATAGGAGGGCAATAATAATTTTGAAAGTCTTAGTTGGATTATTTCCTGTACATTGATTTTGTGTATTTATGCGAATATTAAGCCTTTGGGGTTCATTCTCATTTTGTTTTCTCTGCAGGTCTCAGCAGGACCACCAGGCCCCAGGGTAAGGATCTGTTTATAAGACAATTCGTACGCATTATAGCTGATTCTACATTGAAACAGCCTTTGGAGCCCTGGAATTTAACTGTTTATTTGGCTTAGATTTCATGATAATGCATGAAGAAGTGTGGATTTTTCAATAAACGTTGGGCCATATTTAAAGGAGAAGTACAGCCAAAGCTCTTTTGGCTGTACTTCTCCTGTGCATCACAGGAGTGCAGCTCGTTCTGCACTCCTGTGACCTGTTTTCAGCTGTCAGCGGGCTGAAGGTATTTAAAGGTCGGGCTATAAAGTCGGGATCCACTCGAGAGTCTGGAGCGGCACCTGGGCTCAGCTTCTCAGCTTCTCAGCTAGCCACTGAGCTCAGCTTCTTAGCCAGTCTTAGCCAGCCGTTCCCTCTCCCTCCACAGCCAGCCTATGGCACCAGTGAGCTCAGCTTCTCAGCTAGCCACTGATAGTCTTAGCCAGCCGTTCCCTCTCCCTCCACAGCCTATGGCACCAGTGAGCTCAGCTTCTCAGCTAGCCACTGAGAGTCCTAGCCAGCCGTTCCCTCCCTCTCCCTCCACAGCCTATGGCACCAGTGAGCTCAGCTTCTCAGCTAGCCACTGAGAGTCTTAGCCAGCCGTTCCCTCTCCCTCCACAGCCTATGGCACCAGTGAGCTCAGCTTCTCAGCAAGCCACTCAGAGTCCTAGCCAGCCGTTCCCTCTCCCTCCACAGCCTATGGCACCAGTGAGCTCAGCTTCTCAGCTAGCCACTGAGAGTCTTAGCCAGTCGTTCCCTCTCCCTCCACAGCCTATGGCACCAGTAAGTGTGGGGGGGGGAAGAGCAGACATCGTCGACTGACAGCCATCACTCTCTGCTCACAGCGGCATTGAGAAATCAGCAGTCATGAGATCGCTGAATTCTCACACTTACAGCTGGCAGGGAAGAGATTCTGCATCAGACCGATGCTGCATCCACCTAGGTAGGTATAATTAGGGGGAAAAAAGCCAAACTTCTCTTTCAAGAAAACTGACCAGCTCTTGGTGGTAGCCTTAACAGTACTGCTGAAAAAACAACTGATCAGAGAGATTTTTGGTAAACAGCTAGCAAGGAGCATGTAGTCTGGCTTCTATTTGCTGCTTGAAAATGAAAGAACTCAAATTTTTACCCCAAAAATATTAGTGTATAGTCTTCTTTTTACAAAAGGTGTTCACACATCTCGTTCACACATCTAGATGTACAGTTGTCCATGAGAAAAAAGTAATTAATTGCATGACTATGTATTTTTACTTTGTAAAATTACTATGTATTTTTGGGAGTCACAATGGATTGAATTGTGAATACCATCAGTTATCAGAAGGCTGTACTGTGCTATGCACTCCTTCAGCAGGAGGCATCGCGGTCAGTTTTATTCTTTTTTACCATAACCTTTTGGGTTATACTGTGTAAAAACATACTACACATAGAGCAGTACCACAGTTTCAGTTGGCCCATGGGACATATTTAGTGAGAAACAAGGCAGAAGCTTGACAATTAAGCCGATAGAACACATAAATTACAGATGAGGCAGGCGTTAGCACAGCAGATGGCAATATCTGATTGCATTCTTATGTATCTATCCCCTCCTCCACTGAGCTTTAGCTATTCCCAATTTTCCATTAAAGTGAATGGTACCTGCAATACCAAGACTGGCCAGCAGATGTTACAAACCCAGCTTCCCAAAAAACTTCTGGCATCCTATAGGTAGATGGCAATTGCGTTGCCCATTCAAGTACAGGAGAGGCTATTAACAATCTTTGTTATTTATCCCTGAACATCTTGACCATAAACATCTTACATTTGGATTATCATCCCCAATCTTCATGAAGAAAAACCCATAGCCTAAATTTGGTAGTACATTTTTGCAGTTCTTCTTTTGTATTTAATGTATTTTAACTAAACAACAATAGTTACATAGCATTGCAATCTAACGAAAATCCTGCTGCCTCATTTTAACTCTATAATGGTAACTATTTATAGCAAACCTTTACTCTATCAATCAACATTTTTGACTATATTTCATCTTTATGCTGCTAGCATTAGGAAATAGATAGGAAGGTATACATATGTATTTGGTATACTTGTTACTTCATATATATTTACTTCGATTAATCTTTTTTTTATTGCATTTCTTCAGTTGCTTTCTGGTTTCTGACCAAAATGATGTCATACATCCCAGGCATCTTTGTGCACTTTTTTCCTTTCATCTGGAGGAGGGACTTTCTCAGCTAAGCACACCCTCCTGCTTGCATGTTTGAGCTAAGGACAGATGGATTCCAGGAAATAAATGCTACATGAATCATCTGCCCTTACTCCAGATAGCCATGGCTAGAAATGCTGGGGACGAGTCAAACTAAATAAAGCATGTAGACATGGATGGATGGCTGAATTTCTTTTGAATATTAAAATGAAATAAATAGTGTTTTCAGTTTGTGGTGCTCAGATACATTTTTGTTCTACTTTAACCACTTGCTCTCCTGAGGATTTACCCCCCTTCTTGACCAGGCCATTTTTTGCTTTACGGTGCTGCGTTACTTTAACTGACAATTGCGCGTTCAGCAATGGTGCATCCAAATGAAATTTATGTCTTTTTTTCCCCACAAATTGAGCTTTCTTTCAGTGGTATTTGATCGCCTGTGCGCTTTGTATTTTTTGTGCTATAAAAAAAAAGTCCAACAATTTTGAGAAAAAAAACAACATTTTTGACTTTTTGCTATGATACATGTCCAGTAAAAAAAATTCAAAATCAGATTTCGTCCTAAATTTAGGCAAAATACAACAAAATGTATTCTGCTACATGTCTTTGCTAAAAAAAAAAAAATCCCAATACGTGTAAATTAATTGGTTTACGTGAAACAAATGGCGGTATATATAGTGGGCTCTTTTTTAATATATATATATTTTTACTAGTAATGGCGGCGATCAGCGACTTATAGCGGGACTGCGGCGGGGATTCTGACACTGGGGGGAACTGACCTGGTGTCACTGACAACCCCAGTGGCACCAATACAGTGATCAGTGCTAAAAAAAAAAGCACTGACACTGTACTAATGGCACTGGCAGGAAGGGGTTAACATGAGGGGCGATCAAAGGGTTAAATGTGTGCTGTGTGCTGTTTCACTCTGTCCTGTGTCCATGTGCTTCACTTTAAGCACACTGCTTTGGATGGCTGTGCTGTGCACAGCCATCCAAAGCAGTGTGCACGAGCCGACAGGGAGGAGAACTGTATTGTTTACATACCGTTCTCCTCCCCGTCGGAGATCCTTGGCAATCACTGGGCGCCGGTGAGTAATTACCCGCCGGGACCTGGTGATTGACAGCCGTGGCTGCAAATGATGGCGCGGGTAGGGTCTTGTATATATACGTGATCTTGTGCACCCGTGCCGCCCTGTAGAAGTATTTCTGCTATAGGGCGGTTGGGAAGCAGTTAAACAAAATGTTGATTCTTTTCTTTCTTCATGTATTTCCTTTTTGAAATGCAAGATAAAACTTGCAAAGCAAACCTGAACTTAGCCATGTGGAAAGTAATTTGTGTATTTATTATGGTCATGTACAGTCCTATAAATTCAAGTGGAAAATCCCTACAGGAAGTTTGATTTTATCTTGTAACCTTAGCTTCATGTTTCATGTAGAGCTATACAGTACTTCGGAATCGTAGCACAGATTTTAAAATGAATCTGTATGAAGTCTGTTTAGAAACAGACACTGGAGATTCCCCCCGTCCTAACCAGGCCATTTTTTGCGTTACGGCACTGCATTACTTTAATTGACAATTGTGCAGTCATGCAACGCTGCACCCAAATGAAATTTACATTGTTTTTTTTCCCACAAATTGAGATTTCTTTTGGTGGTATTTTATCATCTGTGCATTTTTACATTTTTTGCACTATAGACAATTTTGAGAAAAAAAAAATATTTTTTACTTTTTGCTATTAAACATGTGCAGTAAAAAATTGTAAAAATCAAATTTCATCATAAATTTACACCAAAATGTATTCTGCTACGTGTTTGCTAAAAAAAAAAATCCCAATACGTGTAAATTAATTGATTTACGTAAAAGTTATAGCGTTTACAAATGGTGGTATAGATACTGGAATTTTTTTTTTTACTAGTAATGGCGGCAATCAGCGACTTATAGCGGGACTGCGGCGGTCATTCTGACATTGGGGGGGAACTGACTTGGTGTCACTGACATCCCCAGTGACACCAATACAGTAATCAATGCCAAAAAAAAAGCACTGACACTGTACTAATGGCACTGGGCAGGGAGGGGTTAATACGAGGGGCGATCAAACAGTTAACTATGTGTAGGGAGTGTTTTACTAGGGGGTGGGGGGTGTGTGCTTCACTGTAAGATACACTGCTCTGGATGGCTGTGCTGTGCACAGCCATCCAGAGCAGTGTGCCCGAGCCAACAGGGAGGAAGACTGTAAACAAAACATTCTTCCTCCCTGTCATAGATGGTCGGTAATGGCCGGGCCCAGTGATTGAGAGCCACGGCCATGAATTGAGGCACGGGTAGGGTATGTGTGCAGCTCGTGCGCACCCCCTACCCGGCAATGCAAAATCACGTATATATATATATATATATATATATATACACGTGATTTTGCGCACCGCTACTGCCCTGTAGCAGTATATCGTAATCATAAACCACACTTTTGTGGGTTGCCTTAAAATTACCTGCCCTATGATAGAAGGTGCATCAGCTAGTATTAACATAAAAGGGAGCCTGCATGCTTGCAGCCCTCTTGCCATGAAAATACTAGCCAGTATGCTGGGCTAGTAAAGTCTGCAAAAACATTTAGGCCCTGTTCACATATACTGCAGTGACCTGCATTTTACTGCACTGGAAGAACACAAGTCACCACAAGGACACATATAAAATGATTATTTTCTATGTGACCTGTTCACACCACAACACTGGTATCATGTGCAGTTCACTGTTACATTAAAATGCTACATTTGCAATTTAATTTGCATGCAAAACGCATTAAAAAGCACCCCAATGCACATAAAAATGCACATCAATGGAAATCAAAGTACATCCATTAATTGAGCATTTTCATGCATTGTAATGCATTGACCTATGAACAGGCTCTTTAAGTTGTTCCAATTCCCAAAATTGTTTTTGTAAAATCACATGAGAAGTGCTGCATGCAAATTATTCTGTTATAACTTGCTTATGCCAGGTGAAAAGAGGAATGTTAACAACTACCTTTTTCCTCTTTCATTTGGTGAAAAATGAATCAGGTGCTAACACTACACTCATTGACGCATTTATTTGTTGTGCCTTTAACATACAGCTTAAGCCAAAACCATTTTCTAGTTTTCAATAAAATGGAGAAAAGTTTAAACCCCATTTTTTTTTTAGTTTCTTTTTTTTTTCCTCTGAAAATCTCCCTAACGAGGAAAATCGTGAACTTTGAGAGTTGTCACTGGAACAAATGTTGTCATTGGAAGATTCCCCTTCTAACTACAGTTTACTGCTTGGGACCCCATATGCTCGTCTTTTGAACACATCTTATTCCACACATTAACACCCTTCTTAACACTATTATATACAAACATCTGCAATTGCTGTATTCAATTTATTTTTAATGATCTCAGAATGGAATGAGTGCTGCTGATTGGAAGTGTTCCTATTAGACATATGCGGCATGGCAAAAATCATATAGTTATTTTGCCATAAAGTGAATGTTAAACATATGGCCTATGATTAGAATGTTATTCTGACTACACTATGTACTGTACAGTGAAAACTGTTTCCTGTGAAATGAATATCTACTATATTTTGTTCCATTCAGTCATATCTGTTACATTGCGGCTACCACCCAGGTTCTATAGCCTATATCACCCATTCTGCACCCAGGGTGCCCAGGCAGCCTGGGGTGCCTTGAGGTTCTTCAGGGGTGCTTTGGCAAAATGTCTAAAAATTGCCCAAAACTTGTATACAAGCCAGCGGGTGGAAAAAGCCTGCCTTTTAGTTACACAAAGCCAGAGATTTCATTGTGCACCATCACGACCTTCTAGCCGCAGGCATCCTGACAACCAATGACATCATCAGCTGATAAGGAGGATGTCAGCTGCCTGCACAGCATCCTAGTTTGACCCTCCCCTGCTCCTCTCCATCATTGCTGGGGTCACATTAGCTCAATGATGGATAATAACTGAGGGAGAAAAGAAACAATGGAATACTAGTCACTACCAGTGTGTAAACGTGTACTTGCTTTGGAAGAATAAATCACCTCTATTGTTGGGTGTCCTACATGTGTGGATGTTGCTGTATTATATACAACTATTAGAATAGTTTTTCACATTTTAGTATGAGGTGCCTCAAGACTGTGCATAATTTTAAAGGGTGCCTTGTCTGAAAAATGTTTGAGAAACACTGGCCTATATAGTAAAGAACATCTCTAATACAATGTAGCATGTACAGTCTTTGCACTTTATTTACAGAAATAGCATTAAAGTTGTATTTGTAGAAAAAAATCATAGTTTTCAAAAATATTATTTTAAGTAAAGCAGGGACAATGTAAGACCTACTATTACGTTACTTCTGAATATCAAACACCTTTTAAAGCATATCATAAAAATGTCATACATTTGTAGTAAGAGGCATTTTGCACTATGGTACATATTGTACATATTGCAATTACTATGAACTGGGAAAAGAACATGATTATTTCACTTCAGTGAGCCATATACTGTAGATCATATGAGACAAACAACTTCTCAACAATGCAACAAGCCTCACATAACAACCCTATGATCACAATTACATACAAAGCAACTCTATGATCATAATTTCTAAAGCTGGGTTATATAGTACACCTTGATGCATCTGTTATTTTCTAAAGCACAAAATATCCGTTCCTGATATGCCCCACATACAGGTAGTTACTAGTTTTGTTAATTACTCTTTGCTTCATATCTGAAATTATTACCTTACATTTGTTAATCAACGCAGCTGTTTTATCACATACAATGATTTTTTTTTTACCACTTCTTATTATAGGGTTTCAAAGGTGAAAGAGGACAGTCTGGAACCTATGGACCCAAAGGGGAGAAAGGAGTACGAGTGAGTAGTTGTTTTTTTTTGTTTATTTGAATTTTCTTAAATATGTTTTAAAGATATTAAAATATATGCAGAAAAAAATATATTATGTTATAAAGGTTGTCAGTTCTGCATTAATGTCAAAAACACCACACAGTTGGGTATGATGCCATCATGGCTGTTCTTAGAAACCCTGGAGCCCCATACAGCCAACCTGACACCCAGTTTACTATTCTTCAGTTATTAATGAATACAGTGAGTGATCGGTTCCAACCACTCATTGTGTTTGTTCAGGAAACCAAAAGGCTGGTTACACATTCCCCAGACTCTTCTCCGTGTCTCCATCCTGAAGGATCCTATTGTGTGCTTGTAGCTGTCGATGAAAAGGAGAGGGAAGCTGGGACACACAGGGGTCCTGAGCAGCAGGGGGAAGCGTATGGTGCACATGGTGGGTGATAGGTGCTGCGGGGGGAAATTACTGGAACCGATTACCTGTATGGCTCTCTGTGCAGAAGCTGATAGCCAGCAGGAGGGAGAAGAGAAAAAGCCAGCTTTCAGCTGCTACAGAGAGAGCCATGCAGGCAATTGGTTCCAGTAATTGTCCTCCTGCCGTGCTGATAACCCTCCCTGTCCACATCCAGCTGCTTGGGCCCCCCTGGTGGCCTGTGCCCCATACAGGAAGACTGGTAATACCCCTTTATCTATGGCCTAGGATGCCATAAATGGTTTATGTCAATATACAAATACCCAAGGTGCAGTACATATTGCCCAGATCAAACAGGTTAACAGCAAAAATGATGGAGCGGTTATTCCACAATGGATAAATCCTTACATTACACTTTTTCCCAGTGGTATTAAGGTACCCATGAGGCCTACAGTTTACTGGAGTTATCTAGGTAAGTTTTCAGTGCTTGAGCGATGTGCGCTAAATCTATAATCTAGTATTTTATTTACTATAGTTTTTAGGAGGTTTGGTTGCAGATAGGGATGCCCCTTGGGGTTAAAATAATATTTAATTTTTGAAATGTATAGAAGGATGGAAATTTTTTTCAAAAAAGGCAACAACTAAGGATGCTGAAATACTGTATATAAAAGTGTACCATAATTAAAACGTTTCAGCAAATCATTTTCACCAGCAAACGAAACTTTGCAATTTTTCTGCATCAACTTTAAAATGTGTCAATATAGCATGAAAGGCCTCATGTATCACCAAGTTCATTCTAAGATCTGGAGATACTGCTCCTAAGCCACCTAATCAGTAGCTGTGGGGGAAGAGTTCCAGTTTATAGAACATGGCGGATTTATCAGGCGCACAATAGAGAAGTTAAACAAGATCTTTATGGGCTCTAATTGAAATCTCATTAAATGTTGTTTGATGTAGGGAAGAGAAGGAGACATACTCATAAAATATATTTCATATAAATTGCTCAGTAGAAAAGATAATGGAAGCTGATGCTATAAAACCATATAATTCCGTGATGTGACTTTCCCATTTGTGATCCTATCTCAGTAGTAAAAGTACCTTTGTCTTTTCAAATATTCTATTCAAATATTATACCACAACACTAGTGTTTATTGGGAAAATTAAGTTGTATAACTAGCTCCAAGAATTTCAGATGTAGTCTGACGGCAATTCATATCCACGATAAGAAGATAGGGGGATATAGGAAAAAGACGTCTCTAATGTTTTTAGGCACATGTGGTGATTGAAGAAATGGTAGACTTGCTAAGGATGTGATTTGGTGTCTTTTTAAGCAAAGTTTATGTCTTGAGCTTATATAATACATAGAATAAAATGATTCCCTTCTGAAGGAGCATACAATTTATTATCCTTACCACTCATTCTGCCAGCATACATACTTTGATGATTTAAGTGTATGAGGTCACCCAAAAGTCAGTTAATGTACCACTAAGATGTTGGGTTGTGGGAGGAAAGCAAACTAATGTCCTTGATGTAAATTGATCATTGAGCTGCAGCATTTCAAGGCAAGAGTGTTGATCTCTTACAAATGCATTGTTATGCTTCCATACTTCAATGTGTATGATAACTGGCTAATCAAGGCTAAATCCTGTACATCAGTATGTAACCCCTGGACACAGAATTGTTCTGCAAGGACAGGAATGCAGGCAAAAACTCTTTGGTTTAGACTCATTTGCTAAAATTGTTCTCTCTCTTCCTGTTGAACATCTCTTTGTTTTTGTCATATTATTTACATTCCTTTTTTAAATATTCAAAAATAGGTTTTTTCTTTAACCACTTGTCAAATCAGAGGATTTATCCCCCTTCCTGACCAGGTCATTTTTTGTGTTACGGCACTGCTTTATGTTAACTGACAATTGCGTGGTCATGCAACACTGCACCCAAATTAAATTTATATCCTTTTTTCCCATGGATAGAGCTTACTTTTAGTGGTATTCGATTGTTTGTTTTTATCTTATTTTCTGCGCTATAAAAAAAAATGACGGACAATTTTGAGAAAAAAAAAAACAATATTTTTGTGCTATTAGACATGTCCAGAAAAATAAAATTAAAAAATAAAGTTTCGTCATAAATTTAGGCCAAAATGTATTCTGCTACACGTCTTTACTAAAAAAAATCCCAATACGTGTAAATGAATTGGTTTAAGTGAAAGTTATAGTGTTTACAAAGGGCAGTATAGATACTGGAATTTTTTTCTTCTTTACTAGTACTGGCGGCGATGAGCGACTCATAGCGGGACTGCGGCAGGAATTCTGACACTGGGGGAAACTGACTTGGTGTCACTGACATCCCCAGTGACACCAATACAGTGATCAGTGCTAAAAAAAAGCACTGACACTGTACTAATGGCACTGGGCAGGAAGGGGTTAACATGTGGGGCAATTAAAGGATTAACTGTGTGCTGTGTGCTGTGTGCTGTGTTTCACAGTAAGCTGTCTGTGCTTTCAACTGTAAGCATACTGCTTTGTATAGCTCTGCTATGCAGAGCCATACAAAGCAGTATGCTGGAGCTGACAGGGGAGAGAACTGTATGGTTTACATACAGTTCTTTCCCCCTGTCGGTAATACTAGGTAATCACTGGTTGCCAGCGAGTAATCACCACTCGGGACCTGGTGATTGAAAGCCGAGGCTGTGAACAGCGGCACGGGTTGCCACGCACGCTCCCCCTACCTGCAAATGCGATATCACGTATATATACGTGATTTTGCGCACCACTACCACCCTGTAGCAGTATTTCTGCTATAGGGTGGCGGGAAAGCGGTTAAAGCAGTATAAAACCCAAAAGTAAACATTTAATATATTTCAGCTTACTAATTCTTAGATGTGATGGCTGCGTTAGTTTTCTTTCATAGGCTATCTTTTTACCTGGCATTCAAGCCAGTAGGTCTCTTGTTTTTCAACAGAACAAGTTCTCCTGCAAATATAACAGGCAGTGTGTTGTTTACTGGAAAGTGCAAAGATCAGGTGCAGCTCTGCATAGAAACCAATCATCTTCCAGGTTTGATTGGCAAGTTAGAAGCTGATTGGCTACCATGCAGAGCTGCACCAGATTCTAAGGCTACGTGCACACTAGCTTTGTCAGCAGGTGTCAGACATGCGTTTGGGAAACGTTTTTAACGCTTCTCAAACACCTATGAAAATTCTGCACATGGCAGCACACAGTGCTGTTCACACGGAAGCAATAGCGTCGCGTCACGGCAAAACTGACGCCTTGGGTCGAGTCAGCAGGAGTTGAAGCCTCCAATTCAAGTCTATGGTTCCGCTCCACAAACGCCTGCCAGGCGTTTGCGGTGCGGTAGCAATGCGTTTGCAGAGCGTTAATACCATTTAACTTCACTATAGGAGTTTGTGATGCGGTTTTAACGCTTTGCAAACGCCTATCAACCGCCTCAAAATCGCACATAGGGCATTTTGGGAGCATTTGAGGAACGTTAAAAACGCTTCACAAACGCCTGTCTAACACCTGTCAAACGCTACAGGGGCGTTTGGCAAGAGTTAGAAACAAAGTCAAGTGTGAACGAGCCCTAAGAGCACCAGTTTAATAAATCCCCCCCCCCCCTTAGAGTGTTGTGACAACCTATTTACCATTGACAGGGGTGCTTACAATGATCAGATTGTATTTATTCCTGTAAAACCTTTATGCGAAAAGGGAAAAAAAAAAAAAACTATAATTGCTTGTCTAACTGCACTGTGAGCTGGTGTTTAGCTTCAATTTGTTACTATATCTAAACCTGCTAGTACATCTAACACTCCCCTCCTCCCAGAATGAGAATGCTGTTGTCCAAAGGTGCTCCCTGTGCTCCTTCATCCAGAGTGGGAGCACTCTAATACAGGAAGCATGTCACTGGCCAGATCACTAGGGGAAAATATAGGAAAAAGCCTAAAAAATAAAACTAGTATAGACACCGCATCTAATGATTAGCAAGCTGCAATATTTTACATTTTGGGCTTTGGGTTTAATACTCCTTTAAAGATGGTCATTGTGATATGTTCTTGCTGTTGTCCACATGTATAGCACCATTTACAGGGGCCTTTTATTGTCTGAAAGCACTGAGAACTCTTGAAATACTATATACAATGCATACACTACTTCCTGATATTATAACCTTTTGAATCTTTCCTTCCTTCTGTTCATTTAGGGAGCAGATTGCATCCGAACCTCATCAGATGGACCCCTTCGGGTGAGTGTCAGTATATATTGCAGCAGTCATAAAATGCCAAATACATTACTTAGAAGTGTCACACTGTAGTTTATGAATGATTTATTACCTGAAACTAATTACTTTATCATTTGTTGCTAGTTTGGAGTAAAACATATACTATACCCCATTTTTATAAACCTTTTTACAACATAATTACTATTGATTTTTCTTTTTTAATTTTACATAGTGTGCTGAGGGTGTAAAAGGAGAGAAAGGACAGCAAGGGGAGGTGGTGAGTAATTAAGATATGCCATTTTTGCTAACTAGCATTGTTCCCTGTGTTTGTATTGCTGTGTATGTAAAGCCAAACCTTTTTTCTTCATTTTAATTTTGAATATAATGTTGGCGGGTTTGAACCCCTGCCTGTGCCCCCACCAGGACAAAACAGTTTTACAGGAACAGGGAGGGAGGGAAAACCATCCAACGGGTAAACCTGTTCAATGACAGCTGTCGATTAGGGAAATTCCACTTATTTGGGAGAAATCTCCTTACTTCCTGTTGTGTCTCTGCAATAGGAAGTGAACAGAAATCTCCCCAACAGGACAGAGACAAAAGACAGTGACCTAACTATTTCCTACCAAAAAAAGTTTTGTTTTACACACTTTAACCAATATAACATGTACAACAAGCATGTTCCATGTTACTAGGAATATGGATTGAAGCCTATAGCCACTTTTCTTAAACTCCATTAAAACATAAAGTGTAGCGCCAAACATATGATAGTGAAACTAAAATGTGTCATAACAAATATATGTCCATAATATCAAAAGACAATGGTGCAAAAAATTTTTTGTAAATAATGTCCATCCACCACCATAAAGTGCTCTTGCTTGCAGCAAAACAATTAAATTCAAAATTTCCATCACCGTCTCCCAGTGAATTGAAGGCTCACCAGAAATGATGGCTGCCACTACAACAGCATAAATGCCCATGTGTTTAAACAAGGGTTCCAAGGGCACATATATCTTGACATGAGACTCTGTTGGTGGGTGTCATTCTGTCTAGCTGAGCTGTAGTAAAATAAAGCTCACCAGGAACAAATAGACTTCCAGTAGTGTAGTATTTATTAAAAACCAACAGAGTAAAAAAAACAAATAAAGCAAAACGAAGCTTACATAAACAGCTGCTGATGCCCAGAATCGCGCAGCGGCGTGACGTCAGCACTTTAAACTCCTCTCCAACGGGTTTCGGCCAATAAGACATTATCATAGGGTGTTAGCTGCTTTACACTCTTAGTCAGCGCAGATATTGTTTATATTATTTTATCTTAAACTCCATTGCTTGTGTTTTTATATATGCTAAGAATTTCTAGGAATTATTTTCATTTTCATTTCATGCAAATGGAAACTACAATACATTGCTGTTATACTTACAGATATAGCAAGGGGGGCATTAGTGTTTTATGAAAAATACTGCATGTTAGCCATACATTTTCTGTATACCCTGGCCTTGAAAAAGCTGGCCTATATTCAGTTCCTTTATTTTATCACTAGAGGGTGCTAGGGGCAGTCGCATTTAGCTTTGAACCCACTTTGCAGCATCTAACCTGGAGTACACCACACTTAGTACAATCCGTCTTAGCCAAATCTGCACCCCATTATATACTAAATAAAATGTGAGATATACAGATTCTCAATTTAAAATCCTTTTATACCTCTAGCAGTAATACAGACAACACTTCCCAGATTTCATTACATTTTTAAGGGTTTTTGATCTGTGTTATATTGATATATTGTTATATAGAAAATATGTGATCTGGATTACATTGATATATTGTTACATATAAAACACAGAATCTCAATTTAAGTTCCTTTTATACCTCTAGCAGTGATAAAAACAACACTTCCCAGATTTCATTACATTTTTTTGATCTGTGTTTTTGATCCGAATGATATCAATATATCATTACATTCAAATATATGCTCTATAATTTCACATATGTCAGTTCAGTTTAAACAAGTACAGATATTATTATTATTATTATTATCATCATTATTATTATTGATAATAATAATAATAATAATAATACTATATTAATAATATTACTACTAATAAAAAATAACTGAACTGAACTGCAGAGTAAATACTGTTGTGGTTCATTACATTTTCTTTTGTGGTGACTGACAACAGCTGATTTTAGGGGTTCTATTTAAAAAAGTTTTCTCCCAGGATTCACACAGCTTTAACCCAAAGTTCACACTTTTTTTCACATTGGAAAATTGTGTGGATCTTGTGTGACAAATGTATAAATAGACCCTTCAACTGCCACATTGTTTAGTAGATATTTTTTTGCAGGGGTGATGTCCTTATTTTCTTAATTTGTTCATAGTTATTTACTTTTAATACCAGTTTAGAATTATAAGTCTATCACGTCATTGTTCACCAGAGATTAGGATTGTATCAAGTGCGTTACTAATAATGTTAATATGCTTCACAGTTGTTCATAAACAGCTTTAGACAATAACATCTGTGGCGTGTTTTTTGCCACCTGTTTCTAATGCTTCCTGTCTTGTAAACAACAAAGGGATGTGAAATTTCTTCCCGAAAGGGAGGAACATGGTATTTTAGATATCTGTTACTGTAACAAGTGCCTTTGTTGGAAGGATTGCCCTCTATTCTTGTTCTGATGAAACTCAGATATTTAGATTTTCTCTCACTTGGTCATAAGGACAAAAAAAAGAGAGTGAATTTCTCCAGTGGGACAAAGACAGCAGTAAAAAAAAATCTGTCAGGAAGCCATTTTTTTTTTTGTTGGATACAGTAGGCAAGGCTAAAATCCCAGATTATTCTTTGCTTTCTCTGTCGTGCTGGGGAGATTTCCCTTACACTTCTGACCTTGAAAAGCAAATGGAAGAAAGTCTCCCCAAAGTGAGGGGAATTCCCGTTTCGGAATGTTGTCACCAGAACATTGTCCTCATTGAAAGATTTACCCTTACATTTTTGTTCTGGTCACAACTTTAACATTTTTGTTCCCCCCCCCCCCTTTCTGTCACAATGACAATAGCCACCTGTACAATTAGAAGTATGAATCTTCCTATCTTTAAGATCAGGTTGTACTATTCCTTTTTCTCAGTATTAGTACTCCTTTATTTTATTAACTCTGTAGGTAATAAGTAGCTTGCAAAAATAAAAATAAACAAAAACTATTTTGAGCTGTATGGAATTTTTTTAACTTCTGATTATCAGAGCATGGATGTCTTTGTTCAAGGGTCAGCATTTGATGCAGAGGGCCATAAGCAAAAGGTTCAAGCCCATATGTTAGAGTACAGCATCACTCTTACCCTATAGGAACATCTGCTAACTAGGAACTTCTTGCATGTCCACCTTACTATGCTTGCGCTCATCATTGATTGCTCAAAGGCCAAATTTCATCTGGTTAATGGAAAGCTGCCTTCTGAGGACTTTTTACAGGTTCACAAGACAGTACATTCACCCCCCTCTATATAACACAAAGAATGAAAGATATTGCATTACTTATTAAATATTACACAAGTCAGCTTTGCTCTTTCAACCAAACAAGAGTTTGTTTTTCTTAAAAGTTACTTTTTGATTTACTAATCTTGTATCCAAAACCGACTGATTATCTTCTTCACAAAAGGGTCCAAGAGGATATGAGGGACCATCTGGGCCAGAAGGAGAGAAAGTAAGCTACATTTGTTTTTACTGTGCTATATAAATATATATATACATTCATACATTCAGCCAAAAATTTCTTTCTTCATTAAATTGTTGTATTATTTTATCTAGGGACAAAAAGGTGAAAAGGGAGATTTAGGATATAAAGGATCTTCTGGTGCTCCTGGTCGGGATGTAAGTAACAGATATATACAGTACTCTGGTGGGGTAATTTAATAAATCTTCATTGGTCATGTTTATCAGATCAAACCTACCATATCATCAAACATCCAATGGAAAGAAGAGAAAATTATAATGGGAATAATATATTGTGTTTTTCCTATCCCTTCAGAAATTGGAATTGATAGGACTATTACTACACCCAAACTGCACTGATGAGGGCTTGGAAGCCTCTGTTTATTCTTACTATGTTTGCAGAGGCTTCTAGTAACACTCCATATAAACAGGGGGTCACTGGGGTCTTACCACACATGTACCAAGGCACATTAAGCTATTATTGTGATTCAACAATGACTTAATAATTTGTTAGGGCACACTGTTACATGCCATTATCATACTGAAAATGAATAAAACTGACTATTCAGTTACAGTATGTATTTACAGCAATATGACTGAAACAAAAATGTTGTTTATGTACTCATAGCCGCAATGAGAGGAATCTATATGTATAATTAATGGCTATTGCATGATTTGGTGGTATATTTAGAAGATTACTAGACACTTCATGTGCCTTTTATAATGGGTTTTGGCCTTGAGAGGGCACATTTCATACTTTCTCACTGCTCATTTCTAATGTAGCTTATAACCAGTGAATAATGTCCTTTCTATCCTTGCAATTGAAGAGGAACTATTATTCTGTCCTTGAAAAATGTCTTGTCTGTGCCTTTCACTACTTCATGTTAATTGCCAGCACACTTTACATTGAGCAGTTCAGGAAAAAAGTAAAGTACCCATTGCATTGTAGAGCAGGGCTTGTGGATGACGAGTAGTTGCACATACTGTAGATTCCAGTTGTTTAAAGTGGTATTAAACCCAGAAACAAAAATGTAATATATAGTAGCTTACCAATCCTTAGATGTGATGGTTTCAGCTTTTAGGCAGCCCATCTATTTGAATGGGCAACCTAACATACCATAATGGACCAAAAGCCATGTATGCAAGTTATCTATGCAGCATTATCAGCAGCAAAGCACATCACGCTGAACAGCAGTGAGTTGCCGCACATTACACAGCAATACAGGTATACCGGGGTACCATTCAGAATGACTAACACCCGATCGCAACAACGCACATAACATCCCTTAATAAGGATGCAGACACCAGTAAAAACCAGACAGACATTGTAAATTTTCCTTGCTCTATCCAAAATAAAAGAAAACCTCTTGGTTGGAAATGGCAATTAAAAAAGTCCAAGCCTAGAAAATATTGCACTGTATTAATTATGACTTCACTTTAATTTCCATGGAGTTTTTCAGTCCTCAGTGGAGGCTGCAAAGGTGCATGCCCAGCTGACAAATGACATTAATTTCATATTTATTGACTAGGTAATGCTGTCCCTTACTTATGGTGCAAAAGTCTGCAAAAAACACATTGTGGTTAGAAGATAATGTATACATTATGAAACTGTACATGGTTTATACAGCTGTGCTTTCTATTATCTAGGGCAGGCCAGGTGAAATCTGTGTTGTGGGACCAAAGGGTCAAAAGGTAAGTGAATACTTAAAGTGGAGATAAACCCCCCAAAATGGAATATATTGCTGTCTACCAGTTCTTAGACTTAGGTTGCTGAATTTGTTTTCATTTTAGGGCTTAATTTATTTTCACCTGGTGATTGTGCCACTAACACACTTTGGAAGTTATTTACAAAAACTGGAATGTGCAAAATCTGGTGCAGTTTGCATAGAAAGCAATCAGGTTCCAGGTTTTCGCTGTTTGTAAGAAGCTGATTGGCTACCATACTCAGCTGCACCAGATTCTGAGTGTTCCAGCTTTAGTTAATCTTCCCCTTTCTATACTAGTAAGTGTACCACTGCCCCCTTGAATTTTGGGTCCCCCTTTAGTCCTGCACTGCCAGTCAGTTAGCATTTTCCACTCAGCTTTCATCCACAGACAGAAATTAGACCTTAAGCGTTGTATTTTGTTGTTTTATCGAGAGGATTAAACTTGGATGGGGTAAAGGGGTGTATAGGATGCACAAGGCAACTGAAGTCTGATGACAACTTCCTGAAATATTCACAGTTTCTCTACTCTGACACACAGTCTCTGTTGGAGTGCTAGCCAGCAGTTCCAGTTGAACTACCCCAGACTCTAGATGAACTCCTCTTCACCCAGCAATCTGAAGGTGTTCTTCCTGAGCAGGGGATCTGGCTCCTGTTCCCTTAAATAAGGTGCACAGTCACTAGCAAGGGGCTAATCTGGTTTCCCACCAGAGTGCTCCTTCCCCTATCTGTCCAAGGGGTGTAGATGTACTCATTCAGATCCTCTCCTGTACAGCTTGTGTAATGACTGCTGCTACCAGGCCTGTCAGCTGGGTTTCTCCTTCCTTGCAACACAGGTGGTCCTCTCTCAGGGGACCAGTGACTCCTGAGGTTTCCTCCTTTCCAGCTCCAGGCTCGCAGGCAGGGCCCATCCCAGAAGGCCTCCTGGCAGCCTTCCTTCTCCAGCCTTACATCTTCCTGCTTCTCACTTCTCTCCCACCACCAGTCTATAAATCCTGCTACTGAACAAACTCTAGCACCTTTTAAGGGAGCCCAGCCCCTTGCCAAGCCTCCTCTTGGGGATTGGCTGAGGTCCTTCAAAGGTGCAGCCAAAAAACTCAGATCCACCCACTGCCTCCAAGGCCCTCCTCCGCAAGCCTCAGAGCAGGGGTAAATTCCAGAGGGCTGGCCTGCAGGGTCTCTCAGTCCTGACACAAATTTGACCCACTGGCTATTGCACCTGAGCTGCTATTCAGCTTCTCTCTAACCGTTAGGGATCTAGCTCCACCTAGTGTAACTAGGAGGGTGCTACATAAGAAAGCGCTTACATACCCTACTGTATAAGGCTACAAGATAAACTCATGATTTATTTATGGCTATCTATGCTAGAGAAGTTGAGTTCATATGCAGAAGCGAGGTTTGAAAATTGGAGAGAAGTTAGAGAACTGAAAAAAAGGTTAATTTAACACTTTAAAATACATATTGAATACAAAGATAGATATATAGATATGTTTTAGGGATGATGTACTCCAAACTGCATGGCAAGTCAGAGCATATAACATGTGTGCTCTGCCATGTGTGATTGTGCAATGCAGTGCATTGATATAACCTATTGCAGTTCTCTCTCTGTTTTTTTCTTGCTTCTATGTAATTCTATGCGCTTCAGAGCATTGTACACTGGCTCTCTGGAAAAGTCTATTTGCCTTAGCTTTGCATTAGGACTGCTTTGGACAACGAGCTGCCAACAGGGCTGGTGTGAACCAGCACTAAAGCAGCACTCATTAGGATTTCATTTCAAAAACAATTCTGTCAGTTCAGAAGCATGCCATGTCAGAATAGATTGTTAGAATCAAATGTAGCCCCAGATAATTGTCTGATATCTCTTGCACGACTGAGTCTGCATTTTCTACTGTGTTATACTTAATTTTTAAAAAGTGGAATGGGCATCTGTAATTTATGATATGGAAAAACCCAGACAGCTAAAGAAAGTTATAAAAGGTGAGTAATATATGCTATACACTGGCTTGTTTAATGGAGTAGGGTGTCTGCTGTACAGTAAAATCACATATGCTGTAAAGCATTTTCCTACATTTTCCACAGGATATATTTTTCAGTGAAAACTATATACATTATATATATACACTATATTGCCAAAAGTATTGGGACACCCCTCCAAATCATTGGATTCAGGTGTTCCAACCACCTCCATGGCTACAGCTGTATAAAATCAAGCACCTAGGCATGCACACTGTTTCTACAAACATTTGTGAAAGAATGGGTTGCTCCCAGGAACTCAGTGAATTCAAGCGTGGTACCGTGATAGGTTGCCACCTGTGCAATACGTCTATCCGTGAAATTTCCTTGCTACTAAATATTCCACGGTCAACTGTTAGTGGTATTATAACACAGGAGAAGCAACTGGAAGCAACAGCAATTCAGCCACGAAGTAGTAGGCCATGTAAAATGATAGAGTGGGGTCAGCACATACTGAAGCGCACAGAAGGTACCAACTGTCTGCAGAGTCAGTAGCTAAAGACCTCCAAACTTCGTGTGGCCTTCAGATAAGCACAACAACAGTGCATAGAGAGTTTCATGGAATGGGTTTCCATGGCCGAGCAGCCTTACATCATCAAGTGCAATGCAAAGCGTCGGATGCAGTGGTGTAATGCATGCTGCCACTGGACTCTAGAGCAGTGGAGAGGTGTTCTCTGGAGTGACAAATCACTCTTCTCTATATGGCAATCCAATGGATGTGTCTTGGTTTGGCAGTTGCCAGGAGAATGGTACTTGTTTGACTGCATTGTGCCAAGTGTAAAGTTTGGAGGAGGGGGGATTATGGTGTGGGGTTGTTTTTCAGGGGATGGGCTTGGCCCCTTAGTTCCAGTGAAGGAAACTCTTAAGGCATCAGCATACCAAGACATTTTGGACAATTTCATGCTCCCATCTTTTTGGGAACAGTTTGGGGATGGCCCCTTCCTGTTCCAACATGACTACGCACCAGTGGCAAGCAAGGTCCATAAAGACATGGATGAGCGAGTTTGGGATAGAACACCTTTGGGATGATTAGAGTGGAGACTATGAACCAGGCCTTCTCGTCCGACATCAGTGCCTGACCTCACAAATGTGCTTCTGGGAGAATAGTCAAACATTCCCATAGACACACTTCTAAACCTTGTGGACAGCCTACCGAGAAGAGTTGAAGCTGTTAGAGCTGCAAAGGGGGGGCCAACTCAATATTGAACCATATGGACTAAGACTGGAATGCCATTAAAGTTCATGTGCGTGGAAAGGCAGGCGTCCCAATACTTTGGCAATATAGTGTGTATATATATATATATATATATATATATATATATATATATATATATATTTCTTGCAAAGAAATTCTGTTCATATCACTGGGTTGAATAGGACGTGTTGTGGAATATTGGGTAATACTTTTCTTTTCCTTCCTGCATTAGGGAGAAACTGGAATTGTAGGCCCTGAAGGATTGGCAGGAGAACCAGGACCTCCAGGAAAGCCAGGACTCCCTGGGATTGGATTACCAGGCAAACCTGTAAGTTCACAGTTTTCTGTATTCTCAGAACATTCTTCTTTCATTCTTCTTTTCATATCCTGCCAGTGAATCTTCTGTAATCCCTCAGTGCTGACAGACAGGATTGGAGCTTGCAATCATTGATCGTGATTGTTGGTTTCTCTGTGGAGGATATTTCAGCTAGCAGACATTTCAAGTTGTATTTTAACACAGCTTAATTGGCCAGTTAAACTAAATGCCATATATTTAAAAAGCTTTTTACTACTGAAGATAAAGGAAATAAAGTTGTATTTGAAAATACAATATTCAGAACACAGCTGTTTCCTGACCAGTAGGAGATACTGTAAGCAGCACTGGGTGAGCATTTTTCAGTGAAAGATGATACTGTATGTCAGTAGACCGCCATTAGCTTCAAAGCAAATGCAAACACATGACAAAATATATCCATATACTTATTTGTGATTGTCATTAACAGTCATAAATTATATTAGAATATACTAAGGAATTAAGAGGCCATGTATTCTTGAGGCTAATGAAAACCCTTGTATGCTTTAAGTTGAATTCCAGCTTTGCCTTCCATATTGCACAGTTATACTACTCTTGTACTAAAATTGCTTAGTCCCATTTGTGAGCTTCTCATGGTGTATATTATAAGCTATAGCAAGTCAAATAAAGACTGTCTCATTTCCTGGATGAATTACATCCATCATTATCAAGCCCTTCATTCCGAAGCCTGACAGTCCCTGGCCCAGCCACGTCTGTCATTAGATTTCAATTCTTTCAAACCTGAATTCTTATCATCACATGTGGCTGTTACCTAGAAATGGTCAACATGAAAATGCAGTTTGCCTAGGAATGGCTACTCCAGACTGACATCCACCCATCAGGGCATTTTGATATTAGCATAACTCCTCAAAAAATCAGCCTCCAGTTTGCAGTAGGGCTTAGGCTCTTGAGAGAAGTACAAAAGCAGTGTGCTATGATGTTTTCAGGAAGGTATGTAAAGCACCCTGTAAGAGGGGCTCTCCTACCAGCCATGATCTGCTTGAACTGAATAAAGATGGATAGAGACCCAGTGGGGTCACTGGGCCTAAAATAAGTTGTGTAATGAAATCAGGTTTTATTTTAAAATGTCATTATTATGTTGATGAGAGTGTCAGGGAAGGCAAAATATAAGCAGATTAAATTTCAGTTTAATAGTCCATTGCAGAAGTATATTAGCTGTTATAAAATGCTAAAACTTGCACACAGATACAGCTAACTAGCCCCAATAGACGGAGACTGACAGATGTTGAAAGGCATTAAAAGATACAGAAGACTGGCAAACTCTGATAGACACATATCACTGTAGGCACAGAAATGGACATACAGACAAAAGCTGTCTTTTAGACACGGAAAAGGCAGCTGGACACTAATTTGCTTACATACCTTGGCAAATGTTCAGGTAAAATTAAATCCAGCTCCTCTTATAGCATGCCAATCCACACTACCTTGGAAAACTGCTTTGTTTGTCCGAAAGCCTATCTGAAAGTAAGTAAGGCTTTGCAATAGTTACCATGTTGGGCTGGTTATAGTACTGACTGAAAATTCATGTGCATCTAAACTAAAGTATACAATAGGTGTTTGATTCTAACTGTTACTAAACTAGCTTTTAACATGCATCTGTATCTTACATATAAAACAAATTATTTGATGGTATCCTATCTATGTTTCAGGGTGATCCAGGTGGTCCTCCTGGCTCCACAGGTGAAAAGGTAAGAGGCATTTGCTAAGGACATATTTTTCAGTCAGTAACATGTATGAGCACTAAAATTTGCTGTAAGCTCAGTATTACAAGCAGAAATTACAATAGGGCCCACTCTTCCACAGTTCTTCAATGAATTGCTTGGAAAATGGACACCCTTTACTCTCTAGGCCCCAGTACAGGTGAATAGCCAACAGCTCATCTCCAGGTATCAGATGTGTTGTGTGCTGACATTAAACAAAAAAAATACTAACATACAGCCATGTACTTAATGATCACAGAAACACACTTAACAGACTGTTCCAACAATGTAACACTACAATTAATGTTTAAATAATTCACAAATTCCGTATTGTTTTTAGGGTACATCAGGAATTCCAGGCAGAGATGGTGCTGTGGGAAAATCGGTAAGTATCTCCAACACACTTGTTTGCCATATTTACTAGATTGTTTTTTCTGACTTTATGCAGCAGTACTATAGGGTTTACATTATTAAAGAGTTCACATTTCTGCATTCACATTTGTGTATCTAAAAGCTATTGGGTCCTGGGGAAACACCTAGTCAGGGACACCACTATTGTGTCTTTATAAAGTACTCTGATACGGTTTAACCAACAGATTGTTACTGAGCCTAAGAGTAACAAACTTTATACATGTCTAAAAAACATTAAATGCTTATTTATTATGTTTTGCTATCTCAGTTTATCGTCTGAGGATAGTTTTTCAACTTTATGTTTGGCACATTTCTGTATCGCTACGTAAAGTGTTTCACTGTGAAATTTGAACATGTTTAAAACTGGTGCTTGTTCTGTAGGCATTCCTATTTGTATGTGAACAAAAAAATATCTTAAGTAAATAAAGAATGTTAAAAAAAACCCCAAACATTAAAGCAGAACTAAACCCTCTTATCCTTTTTTGAAAAGGAAGCTGCCATCTTGGCCTCTGTTTGATCTGCAACTGCCACGGTGCTGCACATGTGATCAGTTATGACACCAGCCATTTGATAGTTTGACAGTTTGATTGAGAGCACATGCAAATGTGACAGTTAGCATTGCGGCATGCTGGGAATGTATTTTTTTTTTTTAAATCGTTAAATTGATGGGTTTAGTTACACTTTAAGGGAAAGGAGATCAAAAAAATAAAGAGATGCTGAGATTTTTCCATGTAATTAGCAATGTCAGCAGAGCATAAGGAGTGTCAGTTATGGATCCTGTAGACCTCATGAGCCCAGAAGCAGTTGCCCCGTGTGACCTTGGATATTTGCACCATGTCTTAAATCACACAAAACCATGTGCTATGAATGCTTACTATGAGCTGGACACGAGCACTACTTTGTACACCATTTTATCAAGTCTTCAGACTTTCAGAAAGTGTACTAATTTAGAAAGGTCCACTTGCCCACATTCACAAAAGTGGAACGCTTGTTCTACTACTTACATTTCTAATATAAGAAAGAAAACACATTTAAGTGCTTATATATTTTAGTCTTTTAACAAGAGATAGCTAAGTTTGCTGTAAAGGTTGATAGTATTTCAAAGTGATATCAAAACATTTACCTAAGAATATTAGCTCATTTATTGAAACTGATTAATATCTGTTTTTTTTCACAGGGTAAACCAGGTGTATCAGGGCTGAAAGGAGAGAAGGTAAAATTGTACTGTGATCATGCATGTTTCATACATACCACTATATAGCTAAGTTTAAATTATTTCCAATGTACATTTACATAAGTTGCTGAGTGTTTTCAGTGATATATATATATTTCTGTTTGAGTTTATAAAACTTTTGTTTTCTGTTACAGGGTGAACCATGTGAAGTGTGCCCATCTGTAAATGCTGATGGAACGCCAGTTATTAGTGTACCTGGAATCAAAGGGGAGAAAGGGCAATCAGGTCTTCCTGGAATTGGAGAGCAAGGAAAGCGAGTAAGTAACGACAAGAAAGCCAGGTAAAAGGGAATATAGAGAAACCAGTTATTTTAAAACTGTAAGTGGTTATTAAAAATGCTGCATTCAAATAAATGAATTCTTTAGATTATTACAAATAAATTAGTTATTTCCAAACTGACTGTTGTGACGTTGAGTGATTTTATTTGGTGCCAGGGGCCTAATGTAGTCATTCTCAGCACAGGGCTTTTATTGCTGAAAACAAATATAAAAAAAGTATCATTTCCCAAAGTGTCCTTAACATCCTAGCATTACTAACCCCAAAGCACAAGCAAACACTTAACTCTTCTTTAAGGGCTGCCATCGGAAATTAAAGGACCCTTTACTAAAGAAACTTGTGTCCATTATTCACTGTTACGTGTAGTTCACTGTACTATAACAAATCGTCGTATAGGGTTTTTGTTTTTTTACAGTTTATAAGAAACCCAAAAATGACAAACTTCATAAAGAAACAATTTGATAATGTCTCATTTTACTATATTTCTTTTCAACTTCAGATTGTATTTTAGATGCAAAAACTCTTGACACTGAGCAGTTAAGCCTTGTCAGTTTAGGTAATTACTCCTCTCTCTGTTGACCTAAAGGTCAAATTACCTAATATATTTTTAGACTGTGATCCTCTCTTTCCTTTTACTCCTTTGTTTAAGTATTGATGTAAACTATGGATGACTGAGGTCACTCCTGAAAGATTTATGCCAAACCCCTACAGGAGAAATGCCTTTAGTGCATAGAGTGCATGAACCCTTAACACTTAAAGTAAACCCTAAAATGAACCCTTAACTCAACTGCCCTCTAAAAATTAATCCATTTACCCTGTTACCTTAACTTAAAGTGGTAGTGATGTCTTTTGTTCAAGTTGTACCTACTGTACTAGTAAGCCTATAATAAAGCTTATCTGTAGGTACTGTGAATGTCTCCTAAACTTGCAATGTTTAGGAGATATTCACAGAGCATGCAGCCAGTGACATCACCAACAAAGGAACGGCATAGCCGTGCAAGACCTTCAGAGCCCATGCTGCAGCCGAGGGCTCCCACACACATTCATACGCCCGGAGCATGCAAATCCAGAAGAAAGACCAGGTGAAGATGGCAGCGCTGGGGAGCTGTGACAGCCCTGCTCTGGAGGGCTCCGTGTAAAGGTATGTCTATCACAATGTACTAGTGTGTAGTGCATACTAGTACATTATGAGTTAAACCTGCAGGGCCCCATTTTTTTTTTCTGGTGGTTTACTACCACTTTAACCATGTGCTTTTAAAGCCAAAACTTGTTTCTATGTAATACACTCCTAGTTAGCTAGGGGAGCTCTAGCTTTAATTGTCAAACAGGGGCTGAGCAGCAGCCCAGGTGCAACAGTCAGAGGGAGTTTAAATTTGGATCAGAACTGGGAGGCTCTACAGGCCAGCCCCTCTGGAATTTCCCCCTGCTCTAGAACTTTGGAGAAAGGTCTTGGGTGGATCTGAGGAGAGTGGCTGGCTTGTACTCTTAGGGGATCCTGGCCAGTCTCCAATAGGAGGCTTGGCAAGGGGCCAGGACAACCTTTATGAGTAGCTGAGCCTGCTCAGCAGCAGGAGAGTTTGGGTGGAAGTTGGAGAAGTAGGCTGAAGTGCAGGAGCCTGGGAGGGTGTTCAGATGTGAGAGAGGCCCACCTACAGGCAGAGGAGATGGACAGGAAGAAAGCTTGCACCCTTAGCAGCCCCCTGAGAGAGAACCACCTGAGCAGCAGAGGAGGAGCCACCCAGGCCTGGTAGCAGCCACCGAATCAATAGCAGCACAGGAGAGGGACAAGTGAGTAAACCTACACCCCCTGGGCCAGATAGGAGAAGGAGCACTATGGTGGGAAACCAGATTAGCTAACCTGTTGGGACTGTCTTTCTTTTAAAGTGGCAGGACTGGATCCCTTGTCCAGGGATTTCCTTCAGGCAGCCAGATCGAGGAATATTTGGTGTCTGGAGAGGTCCACTGGGAGATGCTGGCTAGCTCTCCAACAGAGACTGAGTTGCAGTAGACTTGTAAATAGTTCCAGGAAGTTCATCGGTTCCATTGGGCATCCCGTATACCCCTTTCCTTATCCAAGTTGATATCCCCCTAATAAAATATCAAAAATAAGCTCAAGGACTTATTTCTAACTCTTGGATGCAAGTTGTTGTGGAAATGCGTATTGCCTGGCTGTGCAGAACTATAGGGGGATCCAAAACTTCGGCAACTCCTAAGGGAGTAGTGCTACATCTAGTTTTGCATAGAGTAAGGTATAGTTAAAACCCCTGTCAAGTTTTTATTGCTCTTTATGTCCTAGCTGTGGAGATTCACCCTCTCTATTTACCAGGCTAACCATTGTCACAGGGCAGAAAGTGAGGCTATATCCAAAATTATGAGTTGTCACAGGAACACAATGTGACAGGCAGGGGCGAACTGACAACTCATGGGGCCCCCAGGCAATAGGGAATCATGGGGCCCCTGTGTCCTTGCCCAAACTCAAAAAACTTGCCCAAACTATGAAAAAGGTACCAGGGGCATCTCAAGGGCCCCCTACTGACCCCGGGCCCTCGGGCAGTGCCTGAGTTTCCAAATGGTCAGTCTGCCCCTGGTGACAGGAAATCTTCCTTTAAGGACACCTGTTTCAGTGACTAAGTGGGAACGTCCCCATAAGAATAAGGATATTTTTTATTGTCATTCAAAAAATGTGTTATACATGAACGGAACGAGATAAGGTAACTGCACTGCAGTGCACCGCCAGTTCCTCTTACTTTTTGTTGTTTCTTTGGGATAGGAAGTAATGGCAGATCTCTATAAAGGGACCCAGACAAGAAAAAAAAAGGGGCCTTAACCATTTCCGACGCTCTCCAAAATTAAAAAAAGGTTTAAGCTTTACTTACACTTTAACACTAACAACAACAAACGTACCTTATTCTGTGCCTTATGCCCTGGCACCAAAAAAACAACAGTTGCACTAAAAATAACTAACAATGCTGATCTGTGGCCATTGAAAATTAAAAATAGGAAGGCCAATTGCTTTTTTATGCAGGGCTTAGGAAAAAAGATTATCTAGTAGTTTACTCATACACTTTTTTTTTTTAAGATGTCCCTGTTTATTTTTTTCATATTTCTATTCATATATCTTTTTTAGGGTGAAAAAGGTGAACGAGGGACTGAAGGTGAACAGGTATACTGACTTTATTTGGCAAGGAATATCCTCAACATCTTCTCTTGGTCATTGAAGCTACTGTATATATATACTGCTTTACTCTTCCAATTACAGCATAGCATTCTAGTTAGTTATGGGTTAAACCAGAGATATAACGTGGGGAATAAAAAAAACAGGGATAGTAAAAGCTTGATGGGAGAGTCTGAATTTTTGGCTGTATGTCTGCTACTAAAATGAAAATAATCTATAAAGGAAAATATCTAAAGTCTAAAAAATTAAAATATAATATTTTGCAGATGATTCGTCCTTAGTTGTGGTGGCTGCATTAGTTTTTTTAAGACTTTTTCTTTCTTAAATTTCATCTGGTGATCCTGCCTGTAGTACACTTCCGTTCTAAGGTGGCAGCACAGTGAAAGTACAGAAAATACCCATTGACCTCGCCAGAATCCAATGCCCATGTAATTTCCTGTGCACTCGAATGAAATATCAAACAACCTTACAAGTCTTTCCAGCTACAAATCAAGAAAACCTAGTGTGACAAGCATGGCTTCTTCCCTACATGCAGTGGAGCGAGTGAGCGTTGTCACTATACGACAGGAAATGTGTTACTGGCACGATCACTAGGTGAAAATAAAAGAAAGATATCTTGAAAAAGAATCTAATGCAGCCACCACATCTAAGGACTTATAGGTTGTAACATATAAAATATAAATTATGTTTTTGGGTTTGCTTACGCTTTTAAGCGACTGTTTCAGTTCACTTGGAAGCACTGTAAGCCTCTTTTTATCAAAGAATGTTGACTGGATGTTTTTGGCATATCTTGATCCATACACTTTGATGAAAGTGAGCTGTTATTGAATTCTATGCCTATAAGCATGTTTGATAGGGCAGTGCAAAGGCCAATGTGGACAAGCAAAGTGTAATATTCCATAACATCCATATTTTAATTTACTGAAACCAGATCATTGAAAGGAAAGTTAAACTAAAGTTAAACTATAATTTTACTGTATAGAATTTTATTATTAGGAGATTGTAAAACTCACTTTTCACTTTAAAAAAAGAAGTCTTGGCTGTATTAGTAGATGTAAAGTGGTGCAAAGCCACTGAGCAAATAATCTTACCAACTTGCCTTTCTTATTTAAAGCTCACCAGCCCACATCTGTTTATATGTCCATTTACAGTATATGTACATGACTTATACTATTAATGCTTTTGTACAGGAATAAATGACAGCGTATTATTGTAGTGTTTATTTTGTCCTTATCTAAATTATGGGCTGATCTTAATTTTTACAACCCGGTCCATGACCTCTTTATCACTAACTCCTTTAAGCTACTTGTTCTTACTGAAACCTGGCTTCATGAACACAGCACTGCTTCTCCTCTTCCCTCTCCCATGGTGGCCTTCTTTGGACTCACTCACTCAGACCCAGTGGATAGAAGGGAGGTGGAATGAGTATCCTCCTATCCCCACGAAGCACCTTTTAGGCTCTTCACTCTCCTCCCTCTCATCATTTGAAACTCACTGTATACCTCTATACCTCTTTTCTCCAATTTATTTAGGAATTACTGTGATCTACTGGCCCCCTGGACCAGTATCACCTTTCCTTGATGATTTTTCTGCCTGGCTATCCTACTTTCTCTCATCTGAAATTCCCACAATCATTCTCAGTGACTTCAACATCCCTGTTAATGCCAACACTCCAACTACTTCTAAACTTCTCAGTATAACCTCCTCTATTGGCCTGAAGCAATGGATCTATGCTTCTACTCACTGAAGGCTACACCCTTGATCTTGTATTCTCCTACTCATGCACTCTGTGCAATCTCTTCAACAATCCTTTCCCCTCTCTCTGATCACCACCTCATTAGTTTTCACTCTCTCTTCCTGTCTTTCCACCCCCTTTTCCTCCAACCACCTAATAGGGATGGGCTCAATGTTCGAGTTGAACGTAAGTTCAACTCAAACATCGGCAATTCATGTGTTCACCGATGTGCTTTGTGAGAGCCATGATTGGCCAAAGCAATGCACCTGACCACAGGTCAGGTACAATGCTTTTGCCAATCACAGCGCAAATTGAGCATCCATGGCATGAGACTAAGTCTTAGAAAGACTTCAACTAGTATAAATCTGCCCTCCAAAAATACAATTCTTGTCTCCTCACTGCCAAGTAGTAGACCTATTTTATCGCTCTCATTAACACCCTCTCTTCCAGTCCCCGTCAACTTTTCTCTACCTTTAACTCTCTACTTCGTCCTCCACTTCCTCCACCCACTAACTCACTGACTGCCCAGGAGATCGCCAATCACTTCATTAATAAGATTGATACAATTCGTAATGAGATCTCCACTGTACAGATACCTCACCACTTAACATCCTATGTTCAAAGATACACAGAAGCAGGGGCGGACTGACCATTTGGAAACTCGGGCCTGGGGTCAGTAGGGGCCCCATGAGATGCCCCTGGTACCTTTTTCATAGGCTTTTTTGAGTTTGGGCAAGGACACAGGGGCCCCATGATCCCCTATTGCCCGGGGGCCCCATGAGTTGTCAGTCCGCCCCTGCACAGAAGTCCACTCAATACTTCCCACATTTAACCCCACTACTATAGACGAGCTTGCTAAACTTTTTCTAATGCCCACCTAGCGACCTGCCCCCTGGGCCCTGTTCCCTCTCAAATACTACTGTCATCCCCTGGCTCTAACCTACAACCTCTTACTCACATCTTCAATCTCTCCCTCTCTTCTGGCTTCTTCCTCAACTCTCTAAAACATGCACTAGTCACCCCCAAAAAGCCTTCATTGGACCCCACTAATATTAACAACCTATGCCCCATCTCTTTACTCCCCTTTTCCTCCACCTCACTGAGAATAACCTTCTTGTTCCCCTCCAGTCTGGATATCACCCTCAGCACTCCACTAAAACTGCTCTCTGAAAACTCACACATGATTTACTAACAGCTAAAAGCAATGAGCTGTTCTGTACTTCTACTTCTGGACCTTATGGCTGCCTTTGACATGGTTGACCACCCCCTCCTCCTCATAAAATGTTACTCCTTTGGTTTTGGTAACTGTACTCTTCATTGGTTCTCATCCTACCAATCCCACCACAATTCTACATCTTATTCTCCTCTTCCTTTTTCTATCAGGGTTCCCCAAGGTTCTGTTCTTGGACCTCCCCTATTCTCATTCTACACCTCCTCCCTGTGCTATCTTAGAGCACCCCATTGCTTCCAATACCATTTCTCCTCACGCATCACTAATTTACTGACAGACATATCAGTCTGGATATCATACCACTTCCTGAAATTCAATCTATCAAAAATCAAACTCATAATATTTCCTCCCCTATGTGCCCCTTTCTTTGACCTCTCTGTCAAGATTGAAGGTGCATTTATCAACCCATCTACCCCCCTCCCCTTCCTCGCCAGGGTGCTAGGTGTAATCCTGCACTCTGAACTATCCTTTCGACCCCACATCCAATCACTGTTCAAGGCTTGCCACCTCAACCTCCGCAACATCTCCAAAATACTCCCCTTCCTAACCAATAACACAATAAAGCTTCTAATTCACTCCATCTCTTGCCTCGACTACCGCAACCCTCTCCTCATTGACTTACTTTTTACATAGGCTATCCCCCCCTTCAGTCCATCATGAATGATGTTGCCAGACTCATCCACCTTATCAGTCATTCAGTGTCTGCTATCCCTTTCTGCCAATCCCTCCATTGGCTTCCACTCATCCAACAAGTTCAAAGTACTAGCATTAACTTACAAAGCCATCCACAACTCTACCTCCAACTACATCACTAACCTAGTCTCAAACTAACAACCAAACTGTTCTCTTTGTTCCTCTCATGACCTCCTGCTCTCTAGCTACCTTGTCACCTACTCCCATTCTTGCCTCCAGGACTTCTCCCAAGCCTTGGAATTCCCTACCCCAATCTGCCCCAATTGTCTCTTATTCTGTCTATTTTTAAGCAATCCCTGAAAACCTTTATTTTCAGAGAAGCCTATCCCACCTCCACCTAACAAATGTATTTTCACTTTCACCATCAGTTCATCCTCCACAGTTATTACCTTTTTTATCATTTGACCCTCCCTGTCTGTCCTCTAAAGCCAAACTGTTGTCACTATATAAATCCTGTATAATAATAATAATATCACTGGAGTGCTTAATTGCATAGTATGTAGAGGCTACAGTGAGTTTTATGTTCTATTAGAACTAGAGTGAACAAGCATAAGCAACGTATTAAAATGTTTAATTATTAAATAAATAGCTTAAAGAAATTGTCACTTTTGTAAAAGCCAGATTTGCCCAGTTGACAGCTTTCAGCTGTTGTGTAGCATAAATCATCCCCATCTGTTTAGCCTGGACCTGTGTTTTAAGGAAACCTGTACTGTGAAATTATAAAGGCTATTTCTGACTTCTTCTTATGAAAATTCTAGCTGTCATGCTGATCCAAAGGCATCAGTAATTTCTGAGCAATTGATCCAGAAGAATTATGCAGATAGGGACTCTGAGTGACTTAATTGCTGATTGACAAGCTTGTCCTGGGCCAAAAGACTTATATAGCATTGAAAACAGACATTAGACATAAAGGGGTCAGGCTACATGTTTCCCTCATGAAAGTTTTTCTGTAATCTGTGTTTACAATGTAAACATCCTGTAAATGTCATTTAAATAACTTCTTCCTATTGTTACTATTACAGGGACCCACAGGTATCAGTGGCTTGAAGGGTGAAAAGGTATGTGGAGAAATGTTACATGGAGTAATGATAATGTGTACCATGCAGAAAGACAGTTTCAAATCTAATCCATTAAACAATTTTACTATTATTTTTTAAGTTGAAGTCTAGGGTGTGGATGAAAAACACAAGGGAATGAGCCAAAGTGATATACTGTAAGCGATATGGTGTAAATGAGTAAAGAAAAACAAAAAGAGGGTGCACCCGCCTAGTGCATTACCTTAAAAAATGTATTTGTTAAATGATAAAAGTAGGTATTGTACTCACAAAATGACAATACAGTCAAAGGTACATCGTATAGGAACAGCTCGGTCCAAAGTGCGCGTCTGTGATGAGAACTCGACCTCCAACAGGCTGATGCGTTTTGAGGACTTGCCTCTTCCTCAGAGTCAACTGACCAGAAGTCTGTACCCTCTCTAATATATGCTCACTAATGAGTCATCAAAGGTTACATGTGGGCCGTCCTGGACACCCCCCAGGGGCTCCCCGACTGTACGATGTACCTTTGACTGTATTGTCATTTTGTGAGTACAATACCTACTTTCATCATTTAATAAATACATTTTTTAAGGTAATGCACTAGGCCAGTGCGCCCTTTTTGTTTTTCTCTACTTCATATATTTGGACTTCCCCAGTCATTTGAGGTCAGCAAGGCATGCATATTCCAAGAAATTCTCGATGTGGTCCCATCCTTTGGAGTCCATCCCTAAGCGCAGGGTTTGCCATTTCTTTAATATTGTGAAAATGGACTGAATATGTATAGATGTACAGAGAGATTTATAGGTTATAAACTCGTGTGTGGGCTTAGGGTGGAGTTCTAAAGTGTTGCAGGGAATGCAATATAAAATAATCTGTAAAATTTATATGAACTTGCAGCTATGATACTCTCCATTTAGACCAGGCTGACAGAGCAATCTTGTGAACATGCTTATGCACTTGAACGATAAAATTAAATCCATTTTTAATCAAACTACAATCCAAGCTGTTTTGTCATGTAAATTAAACAGTCTAAATGTTATTGAATAATATTTATGCAACTAAAAAAATGTATAAAACTGCACCTAAAGCAGCAGTAAAAACTACAACCTAAATACAAATATTAGTTATTTACTTACAACTGCAAACTAGTTATTAGGCTTTTTACAGCCAAAATGGCATTTCTAGCATTTGCCAGATAGACTGGTGACTATTATGGTGTATTCTTGGCCCCTTTATGTAGGAAGGGGCTAGTTTGACTTCCTATGAATTCCATAGGAAGGTTTTCCCATAACAATGATCAGCAGTTCCAGGTTTTGGCTGCAGCACCACCTAATGGGAAAAGCTGATATTGCAGAGCAAAGTTCCAGTTCTGTTTATTAACATGTTTATATGTTTCGCAATCCTTTGGAGGGTAAGTGGTTAATGAACAAAAATATAGTGTGTGAAGAAGATTGTCAAGCCTTAGTGATCTTTGTCATGCCCACATGGGAATCAATAAAAAATGACAAATCCTTTTTCCCCATTTTACATCTGTTAAAGTATCCAAGTTTAAGGTTTGAAAATAGGGTTTCTTTTGTTGCTTAGCCCTTTTTCTGGCTTAATATTTAACATCTCAGGCATTTATTTAGAGTAATGTAATAAATAAAATGAATTTAAACTAATACTTACTGTACCAAAAATAAGATATTGTTTTCATATAACATGTATAAAAAGAAAAGCATGATTTTTTTTTTGGAAGACTTTAAAATGCTTGCTGCAAATCAGTTAAACTTGACATGGGTGGACATATGTCTCCCTCATAATGTCAGGCCGTTCCTTGTAGGACCTGGACATGCAACTGTTTCTTGTGCAACATATCCAATAGTCTAAAGGGACTCACATATGGTTTAGTACATCATTTATCTTCTCATAGGTTACAAAGAGATTCCATATGAGTTATAATCAGTTGCACTAGGTTACAGTGTCAGCTGGGTTAGATAATATGATAGGCTAGTGTTTATAGGTGACAGAATGAAAGGGGCAGGTTTTTCCCTTTGCAGATAACAGTGTACAGTTAATAGCTGCACATCTTTTTCCCATAATAAGTACAGTCATTTCATATCATTTAAAAAAAATGCTGTATATAAGGGATAATCCCAACACAGGAGTTTTGTTTTGGGGTGCTAAAGGTTGTGTGACTGCAAGGCTTCAATATAATGAAAATAATGGAAATATGGAATTTTTGTTTTAAGTATTGCCTCCCTTAGTCAAAAGGTAATAAAGAATATGTGCAAAAATTATTTTTAAAAATATTAGGAGGAAGTACATCATCAATTAACAGACACACCATAATGGCCAATCACACTTCTGTGTGAATCAAAAGATGGGAAAAAAAAAACTGCATACACATTAGTGCTGCAACTGCTGCCTTAAATGTAGTGGTTGGTAGTGGCTTTAACGCTTCACAGTTCTAGGCAGGCTAGAAGACTGAACTACTGACATTTTGCTTATACACACACTCTCTCTCGCTCTCTCTCTTTCCAGGAGTATGAATACTTTTTCAAGGCACTGTATACTCTATGTGCTAGAATGGCCCAGTCAAAGTCCAGACTTAAATCCAGTAGAGAATCTGTGGCAAGAATTGAAAATTGCTGTTCACAGATGCTCTCCATCCAATCTGACAGAGCTTGACCTATTTTGCAAAGAAGAATGGGCAAAAATGTCACTCTCAAGATGTGTAAAGCTGGTAGAGACATCCCTAAAAAAGACTTGCAGCTGTAATTGCAGTGAAAGGTGGTTCTACAAAGTATTTACTCAAGGGGGGCTGAATACAAATAACCAACACACTTTTCACATATTTATTTGTAAACAATTTTAAAAACCATTTATCATTTTCCTTCTACTTCACAATTATGTACCACTTTGTGTTGGTCTATCACAAAAAATCCCAATAAAATACATTTACGTTTTGTTGTAACATGACAAAATGTGGAAAATTTCAAAGGGTATGAATACTTTTTACCACCCAGTGTATATATAGTTTTGGGTCCATATAATCTGTAGATGGGTTGTTATAAATATTTATGAGCCATAGGGGTTTTCCTCACAAAGCTAACACACCAAGATTTCTGATCCTTATTTTTTTTTTAAAGTGACTTGTTTTCAGTCCAATGAGGTTTAAAAATTAAAAGAGAAGTATGGACTAGTAAAAAAAAACATTATACTCACCTCAGTGGATGCAACATCTATCCAATGCTGCATCTGTCCCGTCAGCTCTGCACTGAGAACTGAGCAATTAAACAGACTCTTGTTGGATCACTGAGAGGCGGAGCCAGGTGAGGGTCCATGCTTCTGGGTGTATCCCAACTATATGGTTGGGATCTTTTCAAAGCCTGGACCAGCAGAGTAACATCAGCCAATAGCGGACTTTAGCCCTCTATCAGCTAAAAATGGGTCACAGAAGTGCAGAAAGAAGTGCACTCCTGTGACCTACAAGAGAAGTACAGCCAAAAAAGCTTTGGCTATACCTATCCTTTAAAGTAGCATAATTAAAAATAAAGATCCTTATTGTTTTGAAAAGTTTAGAGAATTAGTAAATGGCTAATTAGCAGCTCTCTGTCATTAATGTATGGGCTTATTTAGTAAGTCAGTACAGTCTAGGCCAAGGACCCCAGTTCTTTTTGGGGTAATGTATTCTATATGTTTTTAAAAAATGTTTTTGAACTTTTCTTTGTGTATTGGAATAATGGAATTTTGTTTTTACAATTCTAGTATAACACTTATTCTCTTTCAGGGAGAGCCCTGTACAGCCTGTATAGATTCTCCAGCCCTCGCTAATTTATTTAACTCGGGCACTCGGGGTCTCAAGGTGAGAGACTGTAATTGGACTACCTGGCCTGAAGGTTAGTACCTTTTTAACATGCTTAGAAATTCTTATGCATACACGGTATAAATATTTAACAAATAGCATAAACTGTATTACTAAATTTACTAAATCATTAAACCTGTTTTCCCTAAAGACAACCAGTCATAACAAAAACGATATGAACTTATATCCACATCCAATGTCAGGCAACATAAGGGTGCCAACACATATCCCCAAATTTGCAGTCTCCAGAGAGTCCCAGGAGCCCTCTTTCAAATAAACTGCAATGCAGTGTCTTTAAGTAGGTTGCTGAATGAAAAACAAAGGTTGTATTTTGGCAGTATATATGCTATAATATCTACTGAGCTTCATAGGAATTTGGAATATGAGACTGCTTTATTTTATTTGAAGTACCTTCAAAATGTATATATTCCATTTTGAGAATCTTTGACAAGAAAGATGAATGGGAGCAACACCTGTATCCACAGATATATGATGGGACAACTCAACTAAGTTTAACAATAATTTACAATGTATTATTGCTTAGCAAGAAAGTAAAAAAAAATATCAATTTAAGCTTCAGATTTAAGCTTCAGCATCAACAGTGGCAGCTATGCCAGGACTGATGGCAATAATGCATATCATTTATTATGTATAATTCTTTTATTTAATTTTTTAATACTATGAATAATTTTAGGGATAAAACAAATGAAAGATGACACATACCTAGTTCATGTACCCAGAGGACTATGCTTTTATAAAGTAATAATGTTTGATAGTCCAGAAAATGTTCAAAAGAGAAAAAAGAATTCTTCAGGATAGGGTAGGAAGGGAATATAATGTATTGTTCTATGAAGGGTGATATGGAGGGATTTGTTTTACAATGTATGTTGCTACTATTGTATGGCTACTATTGCTCTTGAAGTCACCCACAGATGGCTTTTGTGATCGGAGTCACTTTGGGTGGGGGGCCCATGGAACCCAGCTCACTTCGGAGAGGTGGGGAAACCCCTGCCTCAGCTCCCCATACCCCTCTTATGTGTAAATCACCCTGTGCCTGTTAGGGGTACAGGATGATCTGTCCTAATAATTGTGTGGGCTTTGTCTCAGACTGTGTAGACATGTTTAGGAGATAGGTGGGGTGGGGGGAATTGTTGATTGTTTAATGTCATGTGGCTGCATCCCATTGTTCTACTGTTTATGGGATGTATGTGTTTATGTGTATTAGCTTAGTGGGGAGTGTTTCCAGCAGCCCTCCCTCCTGATGAGACTGTCTGCAGTTGTGAAGTTTGAATTCCTGTGTGTCTCTTGTTACAAAATGTAGATTGCCCCGCCCTGCGTCATTATGCAGGGAGGGGTGATTGTCCCCTGAGTGTATATCTTGTATCTGTGTTCGAATAAAGTAGTCTAACTCTGGTTTACTTCAAATCTGGTGTTGTCTGGATCTTGGGGTAACAATAGCCAGATTCACTGGTCTCGTGTTCCAGAGCCTGAGAAGCAGCTTCTTGACGGAGAAACCCAGTCGTGGTTGTACCTGGGGTCCGTTACAGCTTTAGTGGCCATTAAAAATACATACATTAAAAATACAATCTAGTATAATGCACTAGGGATAGCAGAAGCAAGGATTACATACTTTACTGGAAAACACTTCTCTTTAATCTGAATATCAGGCAGGAAATAAGCTTGTTATGCTCCCATTTTAACAAGTTGATCATTTATTTTTGCCTAAGTATTCAGAGATCCCAGATGTTGCAAATGCATGATTCACCTGATATTCAGTTGTGCAGTGCTAACAGAGCAACATCTGTTTCACCACGAACTGAAACCACAGATGTAAACAAATACCAGATGAAAATAAAGGAAATGAATGCAGCCACTACATCAGACCTATTATCTTCAAAGATAGAGGTGATTAAATGTGCAGTTCTTCTTGGCATTAGCAATTTACTGACTGTTTTCACTCATTGCCCTTTAAATGTATTTAAAGCTGAATTCCAGGTATGCATACTTTAACATAGTTACATCGGACCAACCTGGACCAATGTAAGACTGCGTGCATCATGCCTGGCAGATCCCTGCAGAAGCTGGAAACCATTGTAGTTGGTACTTCTACTAGAGTGATTGCTGCTAGCTTCCAGGTCCTAGGCCAAGTAGCTGCTCTCTCAGCACGGGAAACATTCAAGAAACACTTTGCTTTTTCTCAATTAATGCAAAGCATTTCTGTGATTAGATGAGGTAGAGAGATGGGGAGGTGACGATCGTGGCGTCAGACCCCCAGCCCTTCTCAACAACTTGTGACCGAAGGACTAGCCAATCTAAGACCGCTCTGTCACGTGCGTAACAATGCCATGCTCAGCTGCACCCTGCACAGAGATTTTCCAGCTAATGGACCACAACCTATGTTCCGCAGCCTGAGAGCGATTGTTACTGGGTCAGGTTAATTACGCAATTAACCCTTCACACTGCCACCATCTCCTTTTTGTACAGAGTAGGAGGAAACTTGCCAATATTAGCAATAACACTATGATGTTTGAATAATCATCTGTATACCACTGTCACCGCAGGCAGACATAGAGGTTTAAAAACACCCAGTAGCGCTCTTCAGAGACAGGGATTCTTAGTTTGCATTAAAGAGCTTTAGAAACAGTTCAACACTTTTCAGATAATAGGATTTATTACTAAAAAAGGTCAAAAGAGTGCAATAAAAATATTTCCAGAAAAAGATGTAGCCAATATATATATATATATATATATATATATATATATATATATATATATATATATATATAAATACAGGGAGCAATAACACAGCAAAGAGATAACAGAAAGAAGTTTAGGGAGGTAGAATACTTGCCGTCAGCCTTGGTTTAAGCAGCTTTCAAGTGTCAGAGCAAAAGGGCGCCTTATCTCCCGAAGTTGGTTCCTGGTGTTAAAAGGGAGATTTCTTCAACTTCAACTCAACTCTACTCAACTCTCTGCTCCAAGCATAACAGCCTTTTTCTAGGAACTCAGCAGGGTATCTCCTTACAGCAGAGTATCAATCGCCTCATGTGGGGAGGGATGTTGGAGGCGGGGGGACTCAGACTAGAACCAAAATCCCTCATAAGTGACACCAGGGCAATAACCTTCCCTGGGTTCATGTACCATTCTATCCACTAGTAGATTAATATGCAGAATCACTTGCTGAACGTCTAGATATGAAACATGGCATAGTTCACTATTTCAGCTAGAACTATATGCTTTCTGCTCTCCACGAGGGGGTGTAAGATATCAGGCGACTTGTATTAAACTGAGCCATCCGAATATGTGCTCCATGTTTTTGTAATTATTTCCTATTTGAAGATATAAAATTATATGGAAAAGTGGGTTTTTAAATGTGAGTCTCTTTTACAGCCAGCTGGAATGTCTTTGAAGCCCAGTGAAGGACTGGTTTATGGTTTTACGATTTGGGATTTATAACCATGAAGCTCTCCCGCTGTGCCTGATTGCCTGTGCACTTCTGTACCCTAGAGCACAGGGACCATGTGTCACTCAATAGAGAGGGAGGGGGGATTGGAGGAGAGAGAGAGATACAAGATGGAGGATCCTTAGCAAGATGGATGACCTCGTCCATCTCTGTGTGCACAATTGCTACAGAGGACACTTTGCATTTATTGAGAAAATAGAAAGTGTTCACTAAATAATGCCCATGGCAAGCCCCTGCCAGCAATCCCTGTAGTAGTGGTGCCAGGTATAATACATACATACTTACATTAGTCCATGCTGGACCAATGTAACTATGCTAAAATAGGCACACCTGGAATTCAGATTTAGGCGAAATGCACGCTGGCTCCACTTCTACAGGAGTTTTGTGTTTTGCCTGTAGAAGCAGCTCAGTGTTATCCTATGTGTCCTTGCACATTTGGAAGTTTAGAGCAGCCTTTTTCAAACAGGGTGCCCAGGCACCCTGTGGTGCCTTTGGGTTTCTTCAGGGGTGCCATAGCAAAATGCCTAAAACATGCCCAAGCCAGCGAATGCATGAAGCCTGCCTTTTAGTTCAACAAAGCCACCAGCATCCTAACAACCAGTGACATCATCAGATAAGAAGGACGTCGGGCACCTACAGAGCATCCTTGTTTGCTACCCCCCCCCCACCCTTCTTCATCAGTGTGGGGTCACATCAGATGAGTAAAGGAGAGAAAAATTGGAATACTAATCAATACCAGTGTGCAAAGGTGTATTTGCTTTGGGAGAATAAATCATCTCTAATGCTGGGTGTCCTACTTGTTTAGATGTTGCTGCATTATGTAAAACTATTAGTTATGTTTTTTTACATTTTAGAAAGGGACGCCTCGAGATTTTGAATAATTTTAAAGAGTGTCTCAAGATTGTGCATAATTTTAAAGAGTGCCTTGACTGAAAAAAGGTTGAGAAACATTATTTTAGAGGCATATTTTAACTTCAGTGTTAGAGGCAGGTAAAAAAAAACCCTTCTGGTTTACATTTTTGATTGGTGTTTTCTGGCAGAAAAAAAACGCTAAACACTCCTCCACGCGCCTAAGCATTATACAAAAACGTTCTATATGAGTGTTATTTTTCTGCCAAGTAAACTGGCATTTTTTTTACGCCCAGTGTGCATGGAGCCTTAAACCCTAGAACAAAAATGTAATACTTTGCAGCTTACCAGTGCTTAAACAGGAGTTAGACAACAGAACTTGTGGGACTGAGATTAGTTCTGCAGTCACTTTTGCAGCAGTTGTTTTCTTATTCCAGGTTACAATCAATGCGCAATGTCCTTTTGTTTCTTTTGGTCAGTTTACCCTGTCAATCGTGCTTATGCTTATCCGGCGATGTTTTCGCGGAAACTCTATATGCCGTCACAACCTTTGATACTGTACCTCGCGACACACAGCAAATATATTGGCAACTTCAGTCACAGAGGCAGCAGCAGCTAAGCTGGCACCAACGATTTCTCCTCTGAAGCTCAGTAAGCTCTTACATGGCTCTGTATTACTAGCAGCACATGCAATGAATGATGAAAGTGAGGCTTCCCACCAGTTGACTAGGCGTCTCATCACATAGTGAAAGCAAAATGTTACATCACTTCCGCTTTCAACACGAAACATGTTGTCACTTTCACACCTGCAAATCATGTAATATTTCCATTTTTTGGTCTAACCCCTGTATGTGATGGCTGTTTTTATTCCCTTTTTGTCAGGCTTTTTTCCTATATTTTTATTTGGTGATCCTGCCAGTAATGCACTTCCTGTCCTAAGGTGACAATGCTCACTCTTGTACTGTATCCGTGGTGGAGCAGTGTTGTTACTTTAGGCTGCTTTCTGCTGTATTTGATACAGAACACCTCCATCTACCTCTGGGCAGAACATGGTCATAGTGCAAAGAAACCTATGGTCCTACTGGCATAATCAACAGGCATTTTGTTTTAACTCATCAAACAGATATTAAATACATGTGTAATGGTATGTTTAAAAGAACATAATGGCAAATAAGGGCAGTGCATTGTTGGTGTTCATATACACCTTTTGGCAGGGCCAAGCTTTCAGTCTCCTTCACTAGTTTCATGAGTCTTAATATACAGATGAACATTATGAGCGCGAGGTCCTGAACTCATCACCAGATTATCATTCCCAGCAGCAAATAATCAGTTTTACATAGTAAAAATAATAAAAAATTCTTTCCTTTCTGCATAATTTGCTTTCCATTTCTGTGCCAAAGTTAATGATTCATATTGGATATAACTTATTTATGGCATAAGGGGTTTCTATCTGCCTGATTTAGGGAATTTGGGATTTGCTTAGTCATTTATATCTGAAGTGCTAGTTGGAAGTCTTTTGGAAACTTTACATAAATGAAAATAATTTTACTGCTGCAGATAATATTTAGCCAGAAACATATAATGATATATAAATTATGCATTTACATAAGCTGTGAATAAAATGCATTAATGAAAGGCAAAAACAGTATTTCCCCAAATTATTTTACTGTCATTAGACATCTTTGTTGTGGCTGATACACCTCTTTGGGATAGACCCTTATGCAGGCCATACATGGGTCAAATTCCGAATCCTTTTTAGTCCAAAAACCAAAAACGTTGTTCGCTTGGTAATCCGATGATGCCATTAATGATTTAGTCATAAAGTTCACCCCATATAACAGGCAAAACTTCTGTTCCTTGCAGGAAACGGCTCATGCGCATATATTTTTTTGGGAAAAACGATTGTACAATTTGACCATCATTGAGTTGAAAATTGGTCATTTTTCATGAATTTTCCAACATGCCCAATCATGGAAAAGGGGAGGAACCATGAAAATCGGCCGGTGCCATTGACCCACTAACAGAGCGAAAATCAGCCGATTATTCTTAGGAACAATTTTCGGACAAAAAATCTTGAATTTCAACCCATGTGTGGCCGGCATTAGGAGTGGATTTACTAAAATTAGAAAGTGCAAAATCTGGTGCAGCTGTGTATGGTAACTACTCAGCTTCTAACTTCAGCTTGTTCAGTTAAGCTTTGACAAAAAAAAGGAAATTGGTTTCTGAGCAAAGCTGCATTCGATTTTGCATGCATCAGTTTTAGTAAATCAACCCCTTGGTAGCTAACATTATTAGTAGGTGAATTAAAGTGGTTGTAAAGGCTCAAGTTTTTTTAACTTCATGCATTTCCTGCATGAAGGTAAAAATATTTCTCTGTACAGCAGCACCCCCAGCTCCCCTAAAATTAGATGAGACACCTAGTTAATAGGTGGGAAGCCCCACTTTCATCATTCACTGCATGCGCTGCTAGTAGTGCAGAGTCAAGTTAGAGCTTACTGAACTTCAAGGAGGAGAACTTGTTGGTGCCCGCTTAGTTGGTGCCTCTGTGACTGAAGTTGCCAATTTATTTGCAATGTAACAAGGTACAGTATCAAAAGTTATGACAACATATAGATAGAGTTTCTGGGAAAATGTTGTCTGATAATCATAAGTGTGGTCAACATAGTCAACTGACCAAAAGAGACAAAAGGATATTGTGCAGGATTGTGACTCGGAATAAGAAAACAACTGCTGTAATGCTTGTTGGTCTATTCTTCCTTGTTAGGCAGTCACCTTGTTTCACCTGTTTTTGGTGGTGTTTTCACTCACAGTTGTCTCCTGGTAGAAGCTCTGTGTCCCTTAGTTTGGAGCCATTGTTGGCAACATTTTATGTTCTTCTCTGAGCACCAGGTTGATCCTAAGGGTTACTGTTTCAGACTGTTCTTGGTCTCTTCTGGTTCTCTCAATGGCTGTTGCCACCCCCCGCTGAATTTATTTTGGATGTTCCAACTGTATCTGAATTCCTGTGTTCCCCATTAGAAGAAAATAAGATTTTTGTACTTACCATAAAATCTGATTCTTTGAATTCATTGAGGGACATAGGTACTGCACCTCTGTGTTTTCTTGACCCTGTGTACTGCATACTAACAAAACTGAAACATGCTTGGTAAAGGAGTGGTTATATTTGGCTGGCTTACAGCATTCTCCATGTCCTACCTCTTGTAAGCTGCAGTATAAACCAAATGTATCTGAATTCCTTTGTCTCAAAAGGCTTGAAGCAGTAGATTTTGCACTAAATTCCCAATTATTATTTGTAAAAGTATATTTATTTATTTATTTATTTACACAGGGGGTACCTGGTGCAGATGGACCATTGGGGCCCAAAGGAGAAAAGGTGATTTAAACATATTATGATACATGAACAACTGCATAATTACAAACTATCTTTCATATTATGCCTTATGTGTGAAAAGGCCCTAAATGAAAGTACCTGCCTTGCCAAAGCATCCAGTTATCTGCCATCATTACATGAGCCACATTAGCAATATGACAACATTACACAGGCACTTTCCATTCTGACAGTCGTAGGTTGAGATATATATACACACCGTGTCATGCATTTTCTTAAACACCTATTTCATTATCCTGTATGGGATACCTTTCATTTTATTCTCAGCAGATGCCAGCTGATCAAAATTATTCCCCAAAGAGAATTTTAAAGCTACAGTATGTATTTACTACTCATTAGTGATTTTTCCAGCAATGGTTGATAAACAGTGTTTATATATAGATATTCTTATATAGAGAAATATCTCATGAATTGCAGTAGCTTTTGCTCATGACTCTGGGCACCAAACAACAAATACAAATCTTTAGATCCCCTAATATTATACAAAAGCAAAAGTATCCCCTTTATTACAGGACCTTCCTAGATGTTAACATTCCCCTACCCAACACACACACACGTAAAGTTAAAGTATATCTGAAGCCAAAACTTTTTGGTTTTCTGCCCATATCTGTGTTCGTCTGAAAGGAGGGATTTCTCTGCACTTACTACTTAATTACTAGTAAATCTTTCTAAAGTGATGGGGAATCCTTTCAGTTCTTATCTTCTTAAAGCTGCTGCCAAACAATTCTCGCCATAGAGCCAGATGCTCAGACTATCCCAAGGTTTGTTTGAGTTTTATAGCTTAGGCAATACTTTGAGGAGCAAACTGTACCCTTTTCTTACCAAGCTGACTTTCCGAGTGCTTCTCTAATTGTACATGATATTTATTGTATATTCAGTAGGTCGTATGGTCAGATTCTTTTTTTTAAAGTAATCTTGTAAACTTTTGCATACAGCCCTAGTTGCAGTGATAGAAATAGTACATTCTGTGTGTACTGGTATTGTATGAAACATTGTAAGGATTAGAATTTGTGGATAAGCATTTGAGGTACCTTTCAAGTATGTATTTTACAGAAATCTGTGATAAATATATATATGTTATCAGGGGCGGACTGACAACTCAAGGGGCCCCCGGGCAATAGGGGATCATGGGGCCCCTGTGTCCTTGCCCAAACTCAAAAAAGCCTATGAAAAAGGTACCAATGGCATCTAATGGGGCCCCCTACTGACAGTGCCCGAGGGTCCAAATGGTCAGTCCGCCCCTGTATGTTATATATTATAACATATATATATTATATATATTTTTTTATTTCTCTGCTTCACACAGGGAGATAGAGGAGTGGAAGGACCAGCTGGAATACAAGTGAGTGGAATATCACTCCCATATGAGTTTTATGTTTTAATTCAATAACTTGATCCATTACATCTATACCAAATGTATGTTTTGTTTTTTAAGATCAAAGCAACATAGCGGAAGCTATGTAATTTATTGTGATTTGTCACTTTTTGAAATACAAAGCTTTAGAATGCACAGATGGAATCATAATAAAAAAGATGTTTTCCCCCTGCTTCCTAATATTTTGTGATATAGGCAGCATCAATAAAAGAATCAGCATTTCTATCTTATTATAGGGTATACCAGGAGATCTTGGAATGACAGGTACCACTGGATCCAAAGGAGAAAAGGTCAGAAGTAACTGATTTTCCTATAAATGCTTGTAATGTTAAAGTTGACTGTGTGTTGCAAGGTATCTTGTTCTTGTCTCTCCTGCAAGCCATTATTCTCTTTTGCAGGGAGAGCCTTGTAGCATCTGTCCGAGTCTCCCAGCTGAAGTGACAAAGCCTGATACTATCTATGCCGTGCCAGGGACCCCAGGAGAGAAAGGAGAAAAGGGGGATGCTGGAACTGGACTGCCAGGGAAAAATGTGAGTAGCATTTACTGAAAAAATTGCAAATTACCTAAAAAAAGTGAGCACTGTGGACAGATGGTGCATAGAATAGAACAGGTTAAAGTAAATAACACAGTCTGAATGATGTAACGTTGCATTCAGTATTCGGGTAATATACTAGAGAATGTTTTTTTCTCATATATTTTTTGTCTGAGTGAGGGTTATTATTATTATATTATTATTATTATTATACAGTATTTATAAAGCGCCAATAGTTCGCTCAGCGCTGTACATTATAAAGGGGGACAGAACATGTGACAGAACAATACCAATACAATGCAAAACATGAGGGGATCGAGGGCCCTGCTCTTTCAAGCTTACAATCTAGGAATGATTTCAAATCCTCAACCCATTGTAATGTCAATATATTAGATATATACATTCTCATAGGATAAATTCAGGTCACATCTGAAGAGCAGACAATGTACTGTATGGTTCTTAGCTTTTTGGCACCACCTGTCCTCTCTACCATTGACTAACATGTATTGTTCTAAATTAAGCAGTAGTAAAAATGGCATAGCCACTTCCCAGGCCCAGAATTTATCAGTGGATGCCACAGAATTACATTACTAATTAAAGTGATACTAAACACACACCATTTAATCTGCATTTTCCCTTCTATTTCTGTCTCTGGAGAATCTCATGGTAATTATTTTAATAGAAAATAATCTCTAAGTACCTTTATTCTTAATCAATATACAGCTGTTGCATGACCCAACTCTTTTCCAGCCTGTCTGCAGGGAAACAGGGTCAGGAGGAGCTAGGCCTCTGCTATTGGCCACATGTTCAAACTAAAAAAAAACAGCCTTTGGGATAAAGAGTAAAAATTAATTATTATTATTATTATTATTAACAAACTGTTTTAAATCATTATATCAAATATTTATTATTTTATGGCAATAACATAGTGTGGATGGAATACTGACTATCACAGGCTATGTCACGCCCCTCTTCCCTGTGCATTAGAATAAAAGGGAGGTGAAGCCCCCATCAATCAAGACGTAATATCCCTCCCTCATTGTGTTTAGCTGGTTAGTGGGCATGGAGGAGGAGGAAGGGAGTGGGCAGCAATTTTACACTGTGTATACACCCACATGTGTGACTCTACAGTCAAATGGCCTGCTCAGATGTGATAGGGAGCAAATATTCAGGATAGGAATAAACTGAAAACTGAGCATGTGCACTAGCTGCCAACACTGCTCTGCAAAATCCCCAACTGCAGTGCGGACATATGTAGAAAGGGGAGATAAAGAACAGCAGGATCAACCATTTTTCTTGCAGAATACAGAAAACAAATCCCATAGTGACTGAGTGAGTATGAACAGCATGTAATACCGCATTTATTGATAGTTTTTAATGATGTGGTTTTAATGACACTTTAATGAACATTGAATTGTATACCAGGCAGTCAGTAACAAATGCAATGTAAATTATCAAAGATTTAACAGTCAGTTTACCAAAGTGGAGTTACTTAAAAAAGTAAGCTATATGTAAATCCAATTATTAAAAGTTCCTAAAAGCTTTAGCTTGTTAATATAATTTTAAACCAAGAAAGGTGAAAGAGGAGCACATACCCCATAGTGTTGCATAAGGAAGTTTAATGGACAAAATAAAATCAATAGCTGCACTCCCAAACAACTTCGGGGTATAGAGGCTTGTCAGGTGGCTTGGAGGATAGGTCCAGAGTCACTGTATGAATTATCCCAGATCCCCAGCATGGCCACTGACTGGGAAAGGCAGGGGCTGAAGTGGAAATTACACTGCTGGCAGAGATGGATGGAGCTTCTGCAAGGTTTGGAGTCCAAGAGCCAAAAGCCTCCTGTTTTCATCGCTGGGGTAGTTTTATTTTTTAAAGGTTCTTATGTTTGTGAAATTGCATTATGTTATATAGTCTGTTAAACTGTAAGTGAATGATTTTGTTCCACTTTAACAATGTTAATTTATTGGTTAAAGGGAAAAAAAAATTACTTTGGAACAGCAAAAAGTGCAATCAAATTTTTATGTACAGTACAGTAATACATTTATAGATACTTAATATATTTGATTACTGTCTGTTTTTTAATACCTATGATCTGAAGACTGGGCCTGGTTGAAGTATAGAACTTTAGTGTCTTATTCACTGGCTTTTATGCAGCTTTGTATTTTTATTGTTTGCCAGGGTATGCCAGGTGATGCTGGAACAAAAGGGCAGAAGGTGAGTTGGATGGGCATAAACTATGGTATACTGCCTGTTTATGAGAAAGGTCTATATATATATATATATTGCTCAAACAATAATGGAACACTTTGAAAACACATCAGATCTCAATGGCAAAAAATATCACGCTGGATATCTATACTGATATGGACTGGGTAATGTGTTAGGTACGTAAGGATGCGCAATTGTTTGATGGAAATGAAAATTATCAACCTACAGAGGACTGAATTCAATGACACCCCAATAATCAAAGTGCAAAAATGATGCAGCAGGCTAATCCATTTTGCTGAAATTTCACTGCAGCAACTCAAAATGATACTCAGTAGTTTTTACGGCCCCCACATGCTTTGATGCATGCCTGATAACGTCAGGGCATGCTCCTAATGATTTAGGTAAGACGAGCATGGGGGACATTCAATGGTATCAATTCCTTCAATCTCCAGGAACTGCCTGCATACTCTCACCACATGAGGCCGGGCATTGTCGTGCAACAGAAAGAACCCAGGACCCTCTGCACCAACGTAGCATCTGACAATGGGTCCAAGGATTTCATCTTGACACCAAATGGCAGTCAGGGTGCCATTGTCTAGCCTGTAGAGGTCTGTGCGTCTCTGCATGGATATGCCTCCCCAGACCATTACTGACCCACCACCAAAACAGTCATGCTGAACAATGTTACAGGCAGCATAACATTCTCCATGGCTTCTCCAGACCCTTTCATGTCTGTCACATGTGCTCAGGGTGAACCTGCTCTCATCTGTAAAAAACATAGGGCACCAGTGGCGGATCTGCTAATTCTGGTGTTCCATGGCAAATGCCAACTGATCTCTATGGTGCCAGGCAATGAGAACAGAGCCCACTAGAGGACTTCGGACCCTCAGGTCACCCTCATGAAGTCTTCTTCTAATTGTTTGGTCAGAGATATTCACACTAGCGGCTTGCTGAAGGATATTTTGTAGGGATCTGGCAGTGCTCATCCTGTTCCTTCTTGCACAGAAGAGCAGATACCTGCTGATGGATTAAGGACCTCCATGGAGCCCTGTCCAGCTCTCCTAGGGTAACTGCCTGTCTCCTGGAATTTCCTCCATGCTCTTAAGACTGTGCTGGGAGACACGACAAAACTTCTGGCAATGGCACATATTGATGTTGGACTGCCTGTGCAATCTCTGTAGGATCCAGGATATCGCCTCATGCTACCAGTAGTGACACTGACCCTAGCCAAATACAAAACTAGTGACAAACAGTCAGAAAAGATGAGTAGGGAAAAAAATGTCAGTGGCTCCCACCTGTAAAACCATTCTTGTTTGTGAGGGTCATCTCATTTTTGCCCATCTAGTTCACCTATTGTTAATTTCATTAACACCAAAGCAGCTGAAACTGATTAACAAGCCCCTCTGCTACTTAACTGAGCAGATCAATATCCCAGGAGTTTAATTGACTTGATGCTATACTCTGATTAAAGTGTTCCATTAATTTTTTTGAGCAGTGTATATATATATATATTGCTTGGTAGAAGATTCTAACTCATTCTCCTTTTATAATACAGGGTGAGGCTGGCAGCCAAGGGGATCCTGGAATTACAGGGACAACAGGTGCACCAGGTCTATCTGGAGCACCAGGAATCCAAGGGTCTATTGGACTTAAAGGGGAGAAGGTACTATAATGTTCAGGTAGACTGATAAATGCTTAGCATGACACAGTGACAGGTTTTAATTACACATGGTATTATATGTGTTTTATAATGGCATATTTTCTACATGTATCATAGTAAATACATTTGATGGGCTATTTTATAATTCGATTGGCTCACTAACCTAGCAATTCTCCTGTGTACAGGGAGATGCGTGTGACTCTTGCCCAGTAATGGTTGATGGAAATCAAGATGTTGTTGGCATACCTGGCAAACCTGGACCAAAAGGGGACCAGGGCCCTGCAGGGGTTGGACAAACAGGAAAACCTGTAAGTCATGAAGTATAATATGTAATAATAATATGTAATTTGTCTGACTTCCTATTTACTCTATTTTCCAAAAATAATTTTATTAGGAAAGTTAAGGCAGATCAATATATATGCAAATACAGATGACAGTCCGAACATAGACACAATATGTAGCATCCCATTTGGCAGACGGGCTATGGGTTCAAAGTATAATACAAATCGAGGTTAGGTATATCTTTGTATCAAAGGTATAAAGCAGACCAGCAAATACATAGAGTGTATTAGATAGCTTGTTATAGGTATATGAATTACTAACCTATCTACTTGTATGCCCTTATGTTGAGGGAATGGGAAATCTTGAGAAATAATAGTACGGGATGATGTTTTCATTATGAGTTGTGTGCCTAGTTCAGGAGGGTGTGATCCACGAGAAAGTAGGCACACCTGTATGAAAGATTAAGTGATATAGTGATATTGGTGATATATGATTGATGAAAATGTATAAAAGGTGTAAGATAAAGAGAAGTCGGAGAGGTGAATAGATAAAGGAGGAAATGTAGAGTAAGGTAGTAGGGGGGGGAATATGGGGAGGAGGAAAAAAAAAAAAAAACGAGGTGGGGGGAGGGGTGGGGGAGAATGGGTAAGGCGTAGAGAGGGTAATAGAATGGGTAGCTGTAGGTAAAATAAATCACAACATTTTGTATGAGCCAGAGAGATAGCCATATAGCTTAATATTCAACACGTGCATGATCATTCAATGGGGCAAAGCGTGGGTCAAGAACCCAAAAGGCAGGCTGTGATGCCTAGTCTCAATACTCTAACTATTTTCATCTTCTTTAGGGTCAGCCAGGAATGCCTGGGGTTCAAGGGCCACCGGGACTTAAAGGAACTCAGGTAAATCGCAGTGATCTAATCCACCCCAGATAATTTGTTTTATAAAGTAGTACCAAAAAAAATATTTATTTCACGTTTTTATGTTACTGGGCATAACTAAAGCACTACCTACTTTGTAACTTTACAACCTTACACCTTGCTAGTAACAGGTTGGACCCATTTTGTCTTCAGAACTGCCTTAATTCTTCATGGCATAGATTCAACAAGGTGTTGGAAACATTCCTCAGAGATTTTGGTCTATATTGACATGAGTTACTGTTGCCTTTCTGTCATTTCAAACCAGTCTGCCCATTCTGCTCTGACCTCTGACATCAACAAGGCATTTTCATCCACACAACTGCAGCTCACTGGATATTTTTTGGACCATTCTCTGTAAACCCTAGAGATTGTTGTGTGTGAAAACCCCAGTAGATCAACAGTTTTTGAACTCAGACCAGCTCGTCTGGCATCAACAACCATGCCATATTCAAAGTCACTTAAATCCCCTTTCTTCCCCATTTTTATGCTCAGTTTGAACTTTAGCAAGTAATCTTTACCATGTCTACATGCCTAAATGCATTGAGTTGTTGCCATGCGATTGGCTGATTAGCAATTTGTGTTACCAAGCAATTGCACATGTGTACCTAATAAAGTGGTCGGTGAGTGTAATTACCTGTAATAAATAAATATGTCATGCACCCAATCTGCAGTAGTACCATACATGCACTTTTGGAATCCAAGGCAGTTTTTGCTTTTTAACTTTTGCGCTGATCAGAAGGACTGGGTGTGGCCATAGAGAACAATGGCAGCGCCAGTCATGCGCCAGGCAGACTGTTATAAATCCCAATAGTTAGACCTGTCCTTAATCCAGTGCATGCATAGAATTTCAAATCCTGATATCAGCTCAGCATTGGCTGAGAGGCTGCTGGAAACCACATCAAAGCTGGCTCAAAGCCACATATCACTGCCAAACTACTGGCTTGGGATTGCTGCACGAAAGCTATAGCTAGCATCACATCATACTAATTGCTTTTATTGTAATCTGATACAGATGTGAGCACTGTATACTGATCAATTTACTCTAGTTATATGCAAAATTATATTGCTACCAGGATAACCAGTTATAACTACAGTACATAGTTTTTGCCCTTGTATTGCTTGGACCCTTAGCATTCTTGTGGCCTAAAATGGCTACAGTTACATGCTAACATTAACCAAGGAACCTTTTATTTTACTTCAATGTTTTGGTTTTCTTCAGGGTGAACCAGGACTTCTAGGACAAGGAAAAAGAGGAGAACAGGCAAGAACAAAGAATTATATTTTATTGTTTGACAAGTAAAAACACCAATGTTAATAATAGTAATACACCAAATGGATGATTTACACAAACCAAAAGAATTAAATGATGGTACAAAAGTAGGGCATAACTCCTGCATCATGATGTAATGTGTTCCTATCTCTGTTATTGCTACTATTATCTGTTTATAGGGTGAACGAGGACAGCCTGGCCCAACTGGAAAAACAGTGAGTAATGCCTGTTACATACTGTATCCTAAAGCGGCATGTCTTTTATGTTATGTTTATATGTTTATATGAATCTTCTGCATTAATATACTCGATGACTTTTTACATTTTTATGGATATGGTGATATTTTAAAGTAATTATTTTGTTTCCTTATATAGGGACCTCCTGGACCTCAGGGACCTCCAGGATTTATGGGGCCCAAAGGCGAAAAGGTAACTCAGAATGTAAATTATTTAGGCATGAGAATATGTAAGAGAAATAATGTTTCCGTACTCCTTTGTATGTATCTAATTGTTAAACCACCTGACATTAATCATCACCACACTGTTTAACCTTTTGAGCTTTTCCCCAAAAGGCAGTTTATAAGAAAGACTAGATTTATAGATTAGGCTACCAACACCATTGCTATAATCATTTCTGTAGCAATTACAATAAACTATTACAAGTAATTGATAATTTCCCTTCTTCAGGGTAGCGCTGGACAAAAAGGGTCAACAGGAGACCCAGGAATTCCTGGAATGGGTGCCATGGGACCTCCGGTAAGTACTGAATACTAATTAAGCAAAAACATCTTTAACGGGACCATTAATCTATTGGCAAATCAAGGAGACCTATTTATAAAGCATAGAAAAAATTGCACATTAGTTGGGTTCTGTGTTCATTATTATTTTAAAGAAACATACTTTTGTTTTTAGTCTTTGATTATAAAGTAGCAAATAGAGAATTGGCAATCTGTAAAATGATGCACTGGCCACTAAAATTGCCCATCTAGAGTAGTAGTTTTCTAAAATGGGAATCAGGATCGAACAAAATCTCATTAAAAATAGTATGTTAATTAAAAAGTAGTCAATCTAACCCTAAACAGCAAACAGGTGGAAAAAAAGACCTGTATACCTCCTGCACACCAAACATTCAGACATAGGGGTTGATTTACTAAAGACAAATAGACTGTTTACTTTGCAAGAGCAGTTGCTCAAGAGCTTACTAAATGAGCAGAAGTTTTGCTGGCTTCCATTATCCAATCATTTGTAAGAAAATGCTGTTTTTATTATTATTATTATTTTCCTTGCTTGTTATTGGATAGTCTGTATATATTTACCTCATTTACTAAGCTCTGGAGCAACTGCACTTGCAGCATGCACTGCAAAGTGCTTAGTCCCTTTGCCTTTAGTATCAACCCCATAGTTAGCCTGTTGATATCGCATCATTTGGCCTAAATAACTAGCCATGCATAGAAGAATCCATCTAGGGTACTCTACCTATTATTTGTATTTAGTAAATCAACCCCATTGAGTACAGGTGTGAGGAGCATACTTAAAAAGTGGTACTTTTCTCGACCCTTAATAAATAGGAACCTACTGTATGTTAGGTTGTTGTCTTGTCTTCTTTCAGCCATACCAAAGATGATTATATGAATTGTCAGTATAGTCCTTCCTTATCTTATGTCTTTTCTATAGATATATCTTCTTTCTTCCTTCTTTTGCTTTTTCTATAAAGCACCTTGACAGGTTCCCTGATAACGTATCCGTTTAGTATAAAAAATAGAAGACACTATCATAAATACTAAATAATTTATAATAGTTATTGTATCCATAACAATTACATAACTATCTAAAATCTCAGCATTGTCAGCAAAAAAGCTGAAAACTGTGCACAAATTGAGAAACTTGATATAATATATCTCTGATTTGGCCATTATCTGGAAAGGTCAGTTTTTCTTATTGTAATTTATAGCTATGAATCTTGTCAAGCATTCACCTCTACAATAAAAAAACTATATGAGAGTTAAAAGAAGATACTTATAATCTTACAGCCACAATGTTCCTAAATTAAAGGACACTTGCAATTTTTTGACCCACACTAAATTCACTAAACATAGACTTTTATAAAGTAGTACAAACTTAGGGGCCCATTCACTCTAGGAACTTCTATGAATCTTGTCAAGCATTCACCTCTACAATAAAAAACTATATGAGAGTTAAAAGAAGATACTTATAATCTTACAGCCACAATGTTCCTAAATTAAAGGACACTTGCAATTTTTTGACCCACACTAAATTCACTAAACATAGACTTTTATAAAATAGTACAAACTTAGGGGCCCATTCACTCTAGGAACTTCGTGTGAATTGCACAGGAACGCCGAACGGTTTCTGTGCAATTTGCATGCGTTTCTGTTCAGTGCGATTTCAGCCCCGTTCATTTTGAATGGGCTGGAATCGCACTGCACCAGACTAAAAGTAATGCATGCACTACAGTTTGAAATGCACGGCAACCAGATTCCATGGTACTTTTGTACCATGCAACTCCATGCAGGCTGGTGCTGGCAACGCACTGTGTTTGTGACCTGCATTTTGGATGACGTTCATTTTTCACTGGCAGTGCGATTGGATGAGGTGCAAAATGTCGCACAGGATTGTGGCTTTCCCGCACTGCATTCTAGTGTGAATGGGCCCTTAAAGCTAGATCACAGTAGCCCATTTTCTGCAAAAGTATCAGCAGTGGGGCATTTTTCAGACAGCTAGGCAGCTCCTGTCAGGTATTCTGGAAGCAATACTTCTTGAATGCCTGTTTTTTTTTTTTTTTTGTTTCGTACTGAAATTTACAGTGGGACTATTGTGCTGCAAGTGAGACATGGCCCTATTGACTTGAATGACCAGGTTTGACAGGCAGCGCCGCCTATCAAGTTGACATGCCACATTAAATTTGCCATGCCTGCGACACAAAGCTTTATGGGCACATCCTCTGGCTGATTGTAGAATTTGAATGGGTAGTTATGGGACAGTGTAAAAGAGCCTAAAAGGAGTTAAAAAATACTACTTGTGTTCCTAAAGAAGGGTTTTTTAATTGCTAATCTACTGTACTGTCAGCAAATTGTATTCTCCATATGATGTCAGTTAAATTATGATTCTCCTAAATTTTATTCTCCATTTGATGTCAGTTAAAGCAGCATGACAAGTTAAAAAACGTTTTTTTTTATTTGTTCCTAAATAACCCCCTAATAACCTTTACTATACCTCAATCAACCCCAATTAACTCCCTTTTCACCTCCTCTAAGCTAATATTTTCCTACTTTTATTTTCTAACTTATTCTATTATTCTAACAAGTGTACATTTTTTTTTCAGTTTCAAAAATTAAAAAAGCCTCATAATTTTAGTGTCATTTTAAAAAGTGCAAATGATATTATAAAATTCATACTTCTTCAGTAACATTTCTTAGAGACTACCAGTTGGGGAGGAGGAGGTGCAGTAAAAATGGGTGGCTGAGCCACAAACCGAATGCCCCCCAACTGCCTACCAGAGCTGTAAAATAACAGACATATGGGGCTGTACACATGCCACAGCAGCAATCGCGATACTTTGCTTCACGGACTCAGCACTTTTATTTCACGGTGCACAGTTTGACAGGCATCACTACCTGCCAAACTTGCCCTTTCAATTCATTAGGGTCATCACGCAAGTGCATGCAATTGCAGCACAACATTACAGGGTTAAATCAGGCGATGAGGAGATGATTTAACGTCTCTTTACTGCCAGTCAAATGGCCTCTGAAAATCCATCTGAACCCACTTCAGAGGGCACCACACTCCATCGAGAGTGTGAAAATGCACCAACACTATTCATTTTAACTATTGCTGGTCAAAGTAGAAAAAAAAATTCACAAGACACTATCACCAAAATCCTTGTTATTTTGTGACCCAAAAGAAATCCTTGTTTTTTTGTGACACAAAAAAACAAGACATATAAGTTAGGAGAACCCCATGGGACTTTATAGGTAGAGAGATATAAAGCATACAACATATTAAAAGACCAATTGTCAATCTTTTTTTTATAATAATAGGCACATGGCCTAGGCCATTATTATTATTAATAAAGATTGACAATTGGTCTTTTAATATGTTGTATGCTTTATACCTCTCTGCCTTTAAAGTTCCATGGGGTTCTCTATAGTTCTATAACCTATAGGTCTTGTTTTTTGTGTCACTAATAGGAATGTTGGCATTTGTTACTTGTTTAGCATTGTCAGGCTCACTTTCATGCATCTTGTTTTTTTGTTATCTTACCCTAGGTTCACACCTAAGCATTTTCCGTTTTGCAGAAATGCAGTACAATCCATTTAACATGATTTCCTATGGGACACGTTCACAGCTCTGCGTTTTCACCCTGTGCGTTTTTTGGAAAGGGTCAGGTTTAATGCAAAAAGTTGTGGTTTTGATTCTATAGACTTCAATGGAAATGCTGCACAAAAGCATGTAGTGCATTTTTGCTGCATTTTGCATTTTAAATCTGCCTAGCAACAAGAAAAAATTAAAAAAAAACACATCAAAAACGTGGAAAAAATGCATCAAAAAAGCAACGCAAAACGCAATGCAGAAACTGCTCAAATGCAAACTGCATAGGTGTGAACCGAGCCTTAAAGCTGGATTCTGGGATAATTATTATATTATTATTATACAGGATTTATATAGCGCCAATAGTTTGCTCAGCGCTTTACAATATAAAGGAAGACAACACAGCAACAACACAGTTCAATACAAGAGGGATAGGAGGGCCTGATCCTTGGAGCTTACAATCTAGGGATAAGGAAATGTTGTGTAAATGCAAGAGGCAGTTGGGAGCCTCTTGAGTGCAATCAGTTGTGGTGCAGTAAAAAGCGTGCATTAAGGTGTGTTATGCGTGCATTAATGTGTGCTGCATTAAGACTGCCCATTCATCATGAATAGACTGCAAGCTCACCACAATGGATGAAAAAATTAATATGATCTTTTTTTTTTTTAAATGCAGCACACCTTAATGTGTGGAATGTGCATTATGGTACATTGTACTCTATTATACAATTTTTTTTGTGTTATGACTAGTACACACGATGAGAAAATCAGTTGAAAGATCGTCCAGTGTTGGGCAATTACTAACAATAAGAAAATTATCGCACAACAGAATACAACTTCGCGCATACGTAGCAACGTGCCACCTATCACAATAGGAAGTGATGTCATTACGTACGACCCCTCTTATAGACACGCCTATAGATATACATGTTACAAATGGCGATGATTTTTCTTTGTCCACATGTCGATTTGTTCGTTGTAAACATTCAGTGTGTCAAAATGGATTTTTTCTTGTGCTGAAGGCAAAAATAATATGCATAATATATTTTTTTCCCTGTTTGATTACATTTTTCATTGAAAACAATACTTATTTTTGTTGCATTTTTCTTTTTCCAGTTTCATCTTTCGTTTCTATTCCTACGCTATCTTGTACACTCAAATTCTTTCATACCAACACTATAATAATAATCATATGCCAATTTTTAGATCTGTTATCTGATGAGAAAAATTTTTGCTCATGTTCCTTCGGAAATTTTCGTATGAACAGTTGTGGTAGGCTGTCAGAAGCTGTGTATTTATGGGTTGATTATCAAACTATCGCTCTAATTGTGTTTTTTTTTCATCCGATTTTTTCATCGTGTGTACCGTGCCTTATTATTATTATTATACAGGATTTATATAGCGCCAACAGTTTGTGCAGTGCCTTAAAA